GTAAACAGTTAATAGAATATGGAAAGGTCAGAATAAAGTTAGTGTATTTCCTAAAGTCAATAAGGTTTCCTATTTGCATTCCATAGTAACCATAACCATGTCTACACTCATGACAGAATTAGAGGCTAATTTTATATTTAACCAGAGGATAAATCAAAGGTTGAATATCAGCTTTATTCAGTTATTCACTACAGTTCTCATAGGCAAATATCTGTGATTAGTCGCAGACCTGCAACATTCTACCATAAACATAACTTGCAACATATACCAAGATACATACCTGAGATTTGATTGACTAATCGTGGCCATGTTGCTTTAATGTAGCAACTTGTTTGGAACACCAGCTGTCTTGAGCAAATCTAAATCAAAACATTGTGCAACACGTTTCAGATAAGAATATAATATATAATTATATATATAAGCTCGGTGGGTACCTTGTTCCAGGACCCCACAAACGTTGGTATAATGCTGACAAAACAGTCAGCTTTACAGATTTCAAGTTTCACTTTTTTAGGCTTCATGGTTTCAGAACAAAAAGTGTTTTGGCCAAATCCAAGATGGCACCCAAACCATACAACCAATAATCTTGTCAGTAAACTTTTTCATGCATATGGCATAGAAAGGCAAGCATAATTTTCATTCTGACCCTATAGGCTTTTACAGTACTGACAGTTTTCAGGAGATTTCATCTAGGGCTTTGGATTTTCTGAATGGATTTCCAAAGCATTATCAAATGTAATTTGAACAATAATGGATCCTCTGTTACTTCAATTTTTAGAAGACTATGAAAGAAAAGCTTGCCTAAATACTGAGAAATATTGCAGTGCGAATCAATGACTGTAATTCTGCTTTTGTTTTCTCACTAACAGGTGAGGTCCAACTGCCATCTGTGGACTTCCAAATACTTATTATATTCTTATCACCCTGCAACTCACACCTGGGAAAAACTAAGGTTGCTGGTGGAAGAGGTGTTAGTGGGACCAGTAAGGGATGCTCACCAAGTGGTCTGTGCGGGTCTTAATGCCCCAGTATAGTGACGGGGACACCATACTGTAAAAAAGTGTCGTCCTTTGGATGAGACGTAAAACCAAGGTCCTGACTCTCTGTGGTCATTAAAAGTGTTTCTTGAAAAGAGTAGGGGTGTTACATGGTGACCTGGCCAAATTTCCACCTGGTCTTTACCTATCATGACCTCCTAATAATGTCCAGTGTCCAGAAAAGCACTATATAAGTGTAAGGAATTATTATTATTATTATTATTATTATTATTATTATTATTATTATTATTATTATTATTATTATTATTATTATTATTATTATTATTATTATTATTATTATTATTATTATTATTATTACTGTCTTTCAGATGAGACGTTAAACCAAGGTCCTGACTCTCAGTGGTCATTAAAGATCCCAGGGCATTTCTAGATAAGAGTGGGGAGTTATCCCGGTGTCCGGGCCAAATTTCACCCCTCGGCCTTTACCGTGGCTCCAAATTGTCCGCATGTATGATTGGCTTGCACTTGCCCTGCGATGGACTAGGGTCCCGTCCAGGGTGTACCCTGCCTTGCGCTCGTTGCTTGCTGGGTAGGCTCCAGCGTCCTGCGACACTGTATGGTTTAAAGTGGTTTGGCCTATGACATTATTGTTACCTCCCCAGGTCATAATGTAAAGTCTTTACAAGAGCCACAGCAGCTCACCAGACCAGGGCTCATCCTGGCTTCTGTAACATTAGACAGACCAGAACATGGGACTCCCCACCTGGATGGGACACTGGTCCATCTCACTCATACATCCAGCTGGACTGGAGCGACTGAAGTAAACTGTCTCATTCAGGATACAACAGCAGTGGCTGCAGCAGGGGCTCAGACCCACAGCCTCACAGGTATGAGTGCAAAGGCTTCCCCACTACGCTATTCCAGCCCCAGAGCTGAACTGTGACAGCCCTGCACTGCTGTGTAGAGCACATATAGCACATGCTTGTGTATCAGGGCTCAGTGCACTGTGTATATCAATCACCCTGTTAGAAAACTAAAAATCTGGGAAAAGAAGATCCAGTGTTTTGTGGCTGAGGAGTTCTCTGCTGTATAAGAAATGGCCCTGAGACATGATGACCGAATCACAGCAGGGGAAGAGCAGAGTAAATGCATTACACTGGCATGGTGTTATCCTCAACAAGATAATTTCTCATTACTGTGAGGATGAGAATATATTTATTACTTATTATAGTCTTTTTATATAAGAAGATAAGAGCATTGATTTCTAAAATTATTTATGGATTTGCTTTTTTTATATAAAACACCTTTTATCATTATTCAGGCACTGAATTGAGATTCTCTCTTGTCTTATTTTATTGCTAATAATTTCAGTAATAAAAATCCAATGAATGGGCAAGGATTTATAATGATTCATATGGTATAGCAATATCAATTTATAAAAGGTAAAGTGCTCGATGTACACATTAATTTATTTCTCTTTGTGAGCTACACTTAAAAGTTAAGTATCTGGGGAGTATGTGACAATGTGCCAACGCTAGAACTAAAATACTATTTTTTTTAATGCGCTGTAAACATGTTGAAGTGATACTTTTGAAGTAGTGATCATTGTTGTGTATAGAGCGACACCTAGTGTCAAACCCTTTAACTATGATGTTTATTTTTTGTCTTACAAATAAAAAATACTAACTGGCATCTTTAAAAAAAAGTAAAACCCGTCTTTTAGTTTCTTGCGCTGACATACATGTATCGTTATTATAGTTCTTATTAAGAATTAATCATTTGCATTTCAGTGACGTTGTTGAAGGTTGATGCGGAAGCTTCAGATACAGTACATTAGAAGAAAAAATAGTTCTGAAATATATCGAAAAGTTGGTGGTGGTGGAGGGGAGTCCCCATTACCTGTAAAGCGCTTTGAATGGAGTGTCCAGGAAAAGCGCTATATAAGTGTAAGCAATTATTATTATTATTATTATTATTATTATACTCTCCAGACTCGCGTTTCCGTCTTACCGTACTGATTGTACCTTCCTACGCACCGTAGATGTGGAGGCGCAAGGTCAGATGGGTCGTTTATAACGCTGGACGTGCGTTAACGTGCGGTCTGTTTGGTATAAGTTTAACCTTATAAACTAAGCAGTTGCGGACCATTCTCGCCTTTGCATGAATGCGTAAATATATGAGCGCATTGACTATCGGGCAGAACTGCAAACCAGATTTTGTTAAGAAACATGATAGTTTGATAGATTTAGTAACAAAACTTGGACACTGTATTTGGAATAAACAGTTTATATTATTATAGATATATTTTCGTAATTGATTTCAAAATGGCACCAAAAACCATGGAACCTCTTGCTCGGAAGCTCTTCAAAGGTGTATTACTCTTGGAAGTAGCCGGAGTGTTCGGTGTGTACTGGCTTTTTTACAGGATGAAGTCCAGTCAAGGTAGGAACTGTTACAAGTTTCATTTCATGAGGCATCACGCTACCGACACAGACTAACAGATCTGTGAACCACGGTAGGGAGTGATCTCCTCACCCCTTTCATAATCTTTAACGGTTTAAGAAATTGACTGAATTTACGACTGGAGATTGAAGCTTCAGCTACCTCAGTTGTTTTCCTTTCTTGATCTATACTTCCTAACTGGTTTGGAGTCTTTAAGCATTTTTTGTCGACACAAGAAAATGCACTGCTGGTAACTATTATAGCCTTACACTGCATACAGCCCGTTGTCGCGTGGATTTCTTCTTTCGGCACACCACTTGTGTCGATATTTCTGTCCTTGTGAATATGGCATTTATTTACCTTCTTTACCCTTGAGCTGAGTGCATCATTCCAAAACATTGTAGCTTGAATGTGCCGATAATTGTTCCCACAACCTCAATTACGGTTCACTGAAGACCTCTTCAGAAAGTGCTTCTGCTGCAGTGATTAATCATAATCATTAAATGTATTAATCTTGACAGATTTCAGAAGTACAATGAACAGGAGATTCCCATCCATTTTGGAAGGTACTGGCTTTTTAAAAATCCTTTTTTAACACATTTGAGAAGTGTGTAATAAAATATCTATGTACAAATATAGATTTCCCAATTTTTAATTGAAAAGTTTTTAAAAAGCTTTCATACTTTAGAGTTAATGAAGGATATCTGTAATCCTTGAATCAAACTAATAGAAAGTGGATGAGCAAAGCTGGACAAATGTTCTTGTTGTAGTCAGGCTAATGGTTTTCTGAAACTTACTGTGAGGTAGAAGGGTATACATTCCTACTGTACAGGCATTCATCTTTATTACTACATTGTAAATTGGTTCTAAGCCAGCAGCCACATTACCCTGCAACTCACAACTGGCAGCCCACTGAAGCTCAGCAGGTGTGAGCCTGGTCAGTACCTGGAAAAACTCAGCTTGCTGCTGGAAGAGGTGTTAGTGGGGCCAGCAGGAGGCGCTCACCCTGCAGTCTGTGTGGGTCCTAATGCCCCAGTATAGTGACTAGGACAATATACTGTAAAAAGGCACCAAGAGTTCCTGACTCTCCGTGGTCATTAAAGGTTCCAGGGTGTCTATTGAAAAGAGTAGGGGTGTTACCCCGGCAACCTAGCCAAATTTCCCCCTGGCCTTTACCACTCTGCTCTCCTCCCCACTGAGAGCTGGTTTTCTGAAATTTACTGTGAGGTAGAAGGGTATACATTCCTACTGTACAGGCATTCATCTTTATTACTGAGAGCTGGTGTGTGGGGAGAGTACTGGTGCACTATGGGTGCCATTGCATCATCCAGGTGGGGCTGCACATTAACTGTAAAGTGCTCTGAATGGAGCTTCCAGAAAAGCGCTATATAAGTGTAAGCAATAATTATTTGTCTGGCTGGTTCTTCTCCAACTGGCTCACCTGCCGACAGACTTTAGAGAATAAAATTACAAGTAGTTCAATAGATTGGAAATATATTTTAATATAAAAGATGTAGTAAAACATGGGATCTTTGAGATAGATTCACTCGTCTTATTTTGTTAATCATTTCAGTTTATTATAAATCCCACGAATGGGCAGGGATTTACGGAATTCGGGAAGAGGACAATGAGGCGTGGTCCAGAGGAAAAACACAGTGAGGTGAGCGGAGAAATACGGGGCATAAAAAAACAGCAGCAGCATCCGTTCGAAATGTACTCTTTGACAGGCAACACGTTAATTCTTCTGCTTTTTTCTCCCCCCCTTCGGTTTGCCCAGGTGTTTATTCCTCTTGAACATCGCCTTCCTCTTCCTCAGCGTCTTGACATCTCTACCCTGGATCCAGTCGTTGCGCGCGGCCTCCCACTTGAGCTGCTTGACTCCTGGAGGGGGGGGATAAACGTTTAAGAAGTTATGTGAATGGAGCTGCGCCACGACAGATCAAACCAGTGGGCCGTCCTGCATCGAGCACCTAGGGAACTGAAAACGAGTGATTATACCAGTCTAAAGCCGTACGATTCAACCTTTATCAAAAGCATACGTGTTTTTAAGGTAACTGATTTAAGGGAAGTCAGATCAGTTTCCCAAGAGATGGTTATTACTCTATAAACACAAACCCTTTACCTTCATGTATCTGCAACAGATGTAATTGTTTAAGTTTAATGCATAATACAAAATGTTTGTCTTGAATAAAAGCAAAACAGCATATTCTTCTTGCACGGGTAGCTGTATTTTTAGCTGGTAAAGTACCCAGCAATCATCTCTACACTTACACAGAAAGCAAGACATTGCCATGATGTATAGAACAGCAACATCTCTGGCTCAAGGCTCTGGGGGAAACTAAATTAGGTTTATAAGTAACTAGTTTTATAAGGAAGTAGAAATATAGAAACAGAATACTTGATTAGGTGTAGAAAAAATATCATTTTTGCCATTCATCTTAAGTTATAAACGCAGAACTATGCGACCACAATGTTAAAACCTACTTAAGAATGTGCTATAGAGAAAGCATAACAGAAATCTGGATGTCTCTGGCACTGGGTGTTGGTTAAGCATAAATAACAATACCCGTGTAGCAGTGACCTCTGTTGGTTGGATATGTGCCTCTGTGCTTGCAATGTTAGCACAGAGCTGCATTAAGCCCTCCAACAAATGCCTTAGTTCTGCCAAGTGCACTAAGGGTTTGACCTCTTCTGACAATGCATGCTACAAAGTACATACAGTGCCTATAGAAAATCTATACCCCCTCTGGACCTTTTCACATTTTATTGTGTTACAGCATGGAACCAAGATGTATTTAACGGATATTTTTTTGCCACTCATCAACACAAAGTACTCTATAATGTCGAATTTAAATAACTGAATGCATAAATATTCACCCCCTTGCTTTGACACATCTAAATTACCTGTGAAGTAACCAACTCTCTTCTCCAAGTCACATAATTACTTGACTGGAGTCCACCCGTGTGCAGTTCAGGTGTTTCACATGATTTCAGAATAAATACACGTGTGTCTGGGAGCTTTCCCACTTAGTGCATTTCCAAGGAAACACTACACCACGAAGACCAAGGAGCATTCCAAGCAGATCCGAGACAAGGTTCTTAAAAAAATACCAGTCGGGGCAAGGGTATAGGAAAATTTCCAAGGCATTGAATATACCTCAAAGCACAGTGAACTCCATCATGAAAAGGTAAGAAAATATGGAACAACTGTGAATCTGCCCAGAACCGCCCGTCCTTCAAAACTGAGTGTCCGAGCAAGAAGAGCCGTAGTAAGGGAGGCCACCAAGAAGCCTACGCAACTCTAAAGGAGTTACAGTCCTCCATGACAGAGATGGGAGAAACTGTGTATAAGACAACAACAGCACATGCACTTCATTAATCTGGCTTGTACAGAAGGGTGGCAAGAAGAAGGCCTTTGTTGACTCACATCACATCTCAGCTGGAGTTTGCCCAAAGGCATGTGAGAGACTCAACAATTTGGAGGAAGATTCTATGGTCTGATGAGACCAAAACTTTTTTTTTTGGCACAAACCTAACACAGCACATCACACTGGGAACACCATCCCTACAGTGAAGCATGGTGGTGGCAGGACTAGAAGACTCATAAAGATAGAAGGAAAAATGGATGAAGCCAAGTACAGAAAAATCCTGGAGGAAAACGTGCTGCAATCAGCAAGAGCACTGTGACTTGGAAGACGATTCACCTTCCAACAGGACAATGACCAGAAACATACAGCAGAAGACACACTGAAGTGGCTTAAAACCAAAAAGGTTAATGTCCTGGAGTGGCCCAGTCAAAGCCCAGACCTCAATCCAATTAAGCATCTTGGAATGACTTAAAAATTGCTGTTCACAAATGGTCCCCATCCAACTTGATGGAGCTTGAGCAATTTTGCCAAGAAGAATGGGCAAAAATTCCAGTGTCAAGATGTGCAACGCTGATAGAGACTTATCCAAAGAGACTCACAGCTGGAATTGCTGCCAAAGGTGGTTTTGGGGGGGGGGGTAAATACTTACGCATTCAATTTTTCATTTTTAATTAATTTAGTAAAATGTCTGGATTTTTGTTTTAACTTTGACATTATAGAGTACATTGTGTTGATGAGTGGCAAACATTCTCAGTTAAATACATCATGGTTCCATGCTGTAACAATAAAATGCGAAGAAGTCCAAGGGGGGTGTAGACTTTCTATAGGCACTGTATGTATATTTTCTTGTTCTCTTTAATGCTGCCATATGGGTTGTACATAGCTGAGAGCTAAGCTATTTCCTGATTTGGCAAAAAATATGAAACTGTAGACAGCAGATGCAGGAATAAAATGGGATTCTAAAACAATGGCTCTAAACAATTCAATGGATTTATTTTGTGCTTCTTGAAACAATTCTAGTATTGTAGTCCTTTACTTCTTATAAACATTGATACTAAACTTCATGGAACAGTGCTGAAATACTCCTTGTTCCAAAACTCACCTGCTTTGTCTCTGTTTGCCATTGCATTCATGCCAATATTGTCAAACTTTGATCCTGTGTTTTCATCCAGGAGATACCCAAACTGTTAAAAGGATAAAAAAGTGTTCACATTTAGATCATCTCAAATTCTGCAATATGCACTCAGATTATTCGTATGGAGTTGTACACTGCATCAGTTACTGAACAGCTGTAGACCCGGGACAGTCTGCGTGCACCTTGATTTTCATAAGAGTGTTTCTACAGAATGAGAAAACGTGGTATATGATACCTTTGAAACCAGTGTTTTACAATTGCATCTTTTACACAATTCCAGAACATTAAAATGGGACTTTTTAAAAAGAAAATACATTTTAAAAAGCGTAAAGCTAACATTCAGAGAAAGACATTTTCTTGTTTATATAACTATTTTAAGGAACATGACTTTTGTATTACAGGACTTACAGTATTGAAATATAGAAGTCTGAGGATTTGCATTGTCTTACCTCTTCTGCAGTAGCAAGCATGTTATCATCCCCTAAGCCTTTCTTTTTCTTCTTCTTTCCTGATTTTGACCCTGCAGAAACAGAACTTAATATTTTTATTCAGGTTTAAGAGTTACAATTACTTCTGAACATATACTTGAAAAGTAATACAGTAAAAATTGATAGTGACATGAAGAATATATGGTTTACCTAACGAACCCAAAAGTTCAAGATCTTCTGATTTCTTCCTCTTGCCTGTTTTGGGACGTGCTCCGATCTCTGGCGTTTCTCCAACTTCAACTTCTAAATCAAAAATATGATTTCTTTACCAGAAGGTCTACCGCTTCTCCTTCAAAAACGTAGATTAGGTAGACCTAAACTACATTATTTAAAGCCATTACCACATAGCTCCAAATCACAAAACTAAATGTACACATTTGAAATTTACAGACTGTAAACCAGCTGAAGAAATTTAAGATCTGTATTTGAAAGGAGTGAAAGGAGATTATGGTTGTTGGACGTCAGACCTACCTTCAAAAATATTCGTGTCAATATCTTCTATCTCTGAAAGAGAAAATCAGTTTAGAAAGATGGCAAAATTCCAAAGTAGCTATTGCCTCCAACCAAAATTAAATCTGATATTCCTGTACAGGGCTATGTAACAATCGCCCTGTGTATTGGTAGGTACATTTAAGAAAATCATTTGGATTGAGATCTAGAAAAATAAAATAAATAAATCATGTTAATAGTATACAGGTAGTACTTGATTTGCACAACACATGTAAACACGGAAGACGTGCTACGGGTGCAGTCCCCACCAGAAAGGTGTAAGTAACACATTTATATGGTTGTACTTAAAGTTATTTTTAAAGTAAATATTTGTTGGTTTATCAATCTCATGTACACTCCGAATGGAAGACTCAGTGGTGGGTAGTGAGTGGTGTGGACAATGCATCTTTGTATTAGAATATGCGATTATTGAAAATGGATGGATGTCTGGGGACTGATTTACTTTATGATCTCTCCACAGAATTATAGGTTAATTATGAAATAAAACTGCTCACTGAAACTAGAATATTTGGATTATTAAACGTGAACTTAAAACGTTAAAAGAATTTAAAAGACAAGAACGGCAAAAATGCATATTCTGGCATTCAATACAATTTCCCTACAATTTCCATCATCATCATCATAATAATAAAGCAAGTGAACTCAAAACACTTCACAGGTAATGGGGATTCCCTCCACCACCACCAGTGTGCAGCCTCACCTGGATGATGTCACAGCAGCCATAGTGCACCAGTACACTCCCCACACACCAGCTCTCAGTGGGGAGGAGAGCAGAGTGATGAAGCCAGTTCAGAGATGGGATTAGGAGGCCATGATTGGTAAAGGCCAGGGGGAAATTTGGCCAGGACACCGGGGTAACACCCCTACTCTTTTCTAGGAACGCCCTGGGATTTTGAATGACCACAGAGAGTCAGGACCTCGGTTTTACACTCTTCCAAAAGATGGCGCCATTTTACAATGTAGTGTCCCAGTCGCTATACTGGAGCATTACGACCCACACAGACCGCAGGGTGAGCGCCCCCCTACTGACCCCCCTAACACCTCTTCCAGCAGCAACCTTAGTTTTTCCCAGGAGGTCTCCCTTCCAGGAACTGACTTCTGACTTCTCTAACTTGTGTGCTGTGTGGCGGAAATACTGGTGCATAATGGCTGCTTCACATCATCGAGGTGAGCGATGATGCCCCCTCCCATATTTAAAGCACTTTTGGGATGAAAAGTGCTATACAAATGCATTTATGATCCTCCTCCTCCTGCAAATATGTAATCTGGCAGGCACCTTTATCGTCATCATCTCCCACGTCCATGAATGCTCCACCAGCTTCCTCTAGCTCGTTTCCAAAGTCCTCCTCATCCATACTGCCCAGAGACACTTCATCATCATCCAGATCCCCCTCCTCCAGGTCGGAGTCGGAGTCCGAGTCCCCCTTCTTGCCTTGCTTGGCTGTCTTCTTCATATTGCTGAAAATGGAGACTCATGCTTTACGTACCCCATAATGGTGTATTTAAAGTCAGGAATGTCTTTTTATTTGAAGACAAAACACTGCTATTTTAATGTTCAAAAGCAGACTGCCCCTGATGTACTTTCAAGCAGCCTCATTTATTATCCCCAACAGTCCTGCATTTGACAGTAAAGAAAATATTTTTACTTAAGGAAATGGTCATAAGGGGGCAAGTCTAGCAATTTCCTTGTCTGTTTTAAATGTAAGAACAATCCAAAAATTCAACTGGAATGCAGACCTTCCAATTAACTCTTGACTAATGTTTCATCTAAGAACAATTGATAACTGCAGTCTATACGAAAATGTATACTGAAAAAGTCAAATTCAGCTTACCCAGCAAAATCGAGACTGTTGTCCTCAAATTCTGTGAAGTAGCTATCTCCTTCAAATGAATCTGTGAACGACATCATAAAGCATTTTTAATTACAGATTTCACCACAAAATCAGATCAGGTGGTTATCAAAAAGTGTATCTAGTGATATAAAAAGTAAGCTAACACTAGAAATTAAGGTATGTAAAATTCTGCTATTTTTTCCAATGCTATTTGCTTGAATTACAGTTTTAATATTAGTCTACAGTATACTGAAGACATACTGCCATATTGAAGACAATACAGTGATATGGTATTGTCAGTCTGAAAATGCTGCGGGGCAAGCTACAGTTTGCCATGGTAGCCGGCTGTCTCTCAGTACTGGTTACCATGGAAGTGCGTTCTGACAGGAAATCTGCATCACCTGTGAGGGCTCTTTCACGCCCTTCGCAGGATATGCAGAATATTTAAGGAATTCTCTCAAAGTCCACTTAAATTCCTAGTCTTTAGTGAATAATAATAATAAACTTTATTTTATATAGCGCCTTTAAAGGTGGCTTCTCAAAGCGCCCGAGTTCTCTAGCTCCCGATCTTTGGCTGTGTCTTGGATGTTCGACCCTCATCGCGTACGTGACCTCGGCCCCTGGACATTCTCTTGGTGCTTCGCTACAGTGTTTCTTGGCTCTGATCACATACTCTGGACTGCGTGTCCCTGTACTTTTGCCTGTCTACCTAGTGCCTGGCTACAAACCCTGCTTCTGCGTCTTCCTCCTCCCTGCTCTGTTTACCCAGCCTACTAGAGCACCACGGCCTCCTGCTTGACTGCTAAACCGACCGGACCGGACCGGTCGCCGCCTGCTATCGCACCATCGCTGCCCATATGCACAGCTCCGCTTCTGTTCTCCTGCCAGCTCGCAGCCTATGGTGTGTCTCCCAGTGTGCTCAGCCCAGTCTCTGTGCATGTAAACCATTGCTCAGTTTTCTCCTCCCAGCTACCAGCTTATGGTGTGCCTCCTAACATTTCTAATGTCACTGTAAACGTGGTGAGTGCAGCTCTGCTGCTCTGCCAGGAATCGATCACCGTCACTCGTGGGCTCAGAGGATATGCAGCCCCGCTCCCTTGACAGTGGTGAACGGTGTTACTCCACAAGACCGGGTCATTTGCAATGGGCGAATTCTGCACTGTCTAGGTTCCAAGTGGGCGATATCAATTCCGAGCCGCTGAGCCTTGTTGCGTCCGCAAATTGACCTGGGTAGTAAGTGTTTAAGTTATGTTTTGTATTATTTACCTCCTGCACACATTTTGCCCTTTAGGTTGCTAAGGTATCTGTTGCTTACCGTAATTATTTCCGGTATTGCATATAAAAAATTTGGAAGAAGTACGAAACTGCGTTTTTTTGTGTCTGCTGCCACCAGCACGTACAGTATGAGCGTTTTTGAGCGATTAAGGCCCTAAGAACTATGACGCTGCCCATCAATGAAAAACACCAGGATGCTCAACTGAGACTGCAAGCCTGTGAGGGCCGCAGTTAGAACCCAGACTGCAGAGCACAGCGCCATACCTCTACTGCAATGACATGTGAGCGGGTCAAGCCTTGGGTCAAACGTAAAAATACATAAAGGATGCTGAATTGTATCAGATGATTCAGCAGGGTGGGAAACCGGAAAACCCCACAGCGCAGGGCCAGACTCCTACAAAAAGCTCTTCATATCGCAAAGGACTCACCCAGTGCCCTCTCAAACTCGTCATCATCCACATCCTCAACACTTTCGTCGTCCCTGCCTCCGCGAGGCCTGTGCAGTTCCTTCTCCTTCTCCCGTTTTTTAAAAAACCTGGACATTTCGGCAATAGGAAGAAAACGTTCCATCTTTTAATTTTGTGAACCTCTCTTTTGTGGCATACTCGATACGCAACAGTGCTAAAACAAATCTGGGTTTCAGTTAGAAACAACAGACGATACTATAGAAAAGTACTTTACAGACTACAATCAAGTCATCACCACACCTGAAAAAATAAAAGGGGTATATCATAATTTGAATATTAAAATATTCCCGTATAATTATTCTGGTGTTGTTATACCTAGTTTTATTTAAAATTTAAAATCTCCAAATACTTTATCCGAGTTCTTAAAGGGGAACTGCAGTCCCAATTTCTCAGACTGGTTCTTAAACCTCAGTAACAAAATAAACTAATTGACAGTTAGAAACATTTTGCAAGTCACCAGAAGTTTTTTTGCCTTGTTCTGAATCACAGAATATGGGGCTGCGTATATCTGGAAATTCTGTCTATTTTGCGATGTAAATTGGAGGTTTTACAAGTTACTGTGTACATTTTATTTGTATTGTGGTTTGAAATGCCCTAATCAATGCTGATCCTTTCTATCCCCAAAATATAAAGATAGCGTTTCAGTCCCTCTTTCATAGCTGCTTGATGTTTTAATTGAAATAGCTACACCTCCTCAGTCTTGTGAGAATATAGATAGCATTCTCAGAAACTGCTGATGTGAAAGCTTTTACAATCCTTAACACTCTGTAAAACAATAACAGCACTGCTCCAGTGCCAGTCACTGCACAAACACAGCACAGCAAAAGTGTACATCTTTGAGCAACTTAAAAATTCCTGTTAATTTTTTCACCTTCATAACCTCATAAAACAATGACAGAAAACAACTTCATGTTTCATAAAGATAACCTAATCTGTAAAATAAACCTTTATAACTCCTTGCAATTAATAGCTTTCAAGTAATGTACGTACCGATGGAAGAAGATCTCATCCACTGGGATCTGACTCTCGTCTTTTTCAAGAAACTCCTGACAGTTCACTGTGAGAAATTAACAGAGGTGCTGCTTGAAAAAAAAGCAAACATTCTAAACCTTTCCCACAATTTATCTGAAGAACTGGAGTAACTCACCAGCCAAACTGCGGACATTATTCATTGACAGTCTCTGTCTAGGTTGCATAACCACACTGTCTACATTGTCTGAAAAATAAGTAAGAAATAACAAATCAAGGTGTGGAGGTACGTCAACTGCAAATGACAAATAATTCTTAAATTACTGTGACAGCAGCAACACATCGTTATACTACTTCAAATCAAACTAATGATGAAACCTGAGTTTGCTCTGTTCTGTGAAATTCCTCATGACTGATGATGACTAAAACCAATCAAATGGATATTAATTGGAAGCAGGGATACATTTTTCCCCGTTTTAAGATCACAGTCATGAGTATGGTTTGAGATGAGCAAAAAACAAGGCCTGTGCTACCTTTTCCCTTGTTTTGTTTGGGGTTTCTGAAGACAAAGCGGTCCAGGAACCTGATGAGAGTGAAGTCCTGCAGAGGGTCTCCGGTGTAACCGATGCTCTCGCCCTGACAGGAGGAACACAGCCACACTCATGAAGACAACGTTCGGTCACAGCACTCCTATGACCTGAACTTCACAAAAGCACCCACCCCAGCTTGAGTCTTTCGTTCATTTCTTTGTTGTGACACATTCGGCAACAACATTGGTCACGTCTGGGGCAGGACTAACGTCAGGCACATTTCAAAGCATTTTCCTTTTGGGACAACTTCCTGTCTTTCCTCATAACGGACTGAAGCTTTCAAGAAGAATTCTACCAATCACGAAATACATATTGAAAAATATTTACCAGAACAAACATACCTCTGAGATCAGCAAGCTGTTTTGTAACATATTCTAATGATGAAAGCCTCAGTAGGTTCCACAAGTTAAAGTAAAATCTACAGGAAGTCTGCATGGAGATTAAAAATATTGACAACTTTTTCCTCTCTCTCTGTACTTTCTCCTTTAACGGGATTTACATGCCCTACAGAGAGACAGACTTTACCTGCAAGATCGTGCTGGCGAAAAGGGCCACTGAGGGGTGGAAATGTGAAGAGAGCTGAAAAAAAAACCCACAATAACTTGGTATGAAGCCATCGAAGCTGCTTAAAAGCGTAATATCACTCCAGCTCTTGGTACAACACAAACAATATACACAAAACACAGAATTTTTAAATTGTTAACTTGCGTTTACTTTCCCATATATTACAGTGCTTTTTCCCCCCCCATGCCATGTAAATGTTATATGATTAAGTAATCATTTATAAGTGATTAATCAATCATTTATAATGAATCTTTTTAGGATTAGTCATTTGCAGGAGCTGTAAAGGTGACAATATTCTCTTGTGGCGAAACACGTGACCCCCGAAGGATAATCATGCTCATCTGACTCCTGGACTCCTGGACTTACCCTGGCGAGCTCCCACAGAGTGCTGCCATCAGCCCCACAGTACAGAGGGTTCCTGTGCAGGGGGTCGTAGGCTCCCAGATTCTTCCCACCTGCAGGACAGCAGGAGTCAGCGCTACTACAATCACAATCGGATGCACCGTTTTCTCTCCTGTGCCCCTGCATATCACAAACACTACATCATCCTCTACAGTGCCCACGGACGTTGTTGCTGCCCTGTTTTAATGGATTGCCTGGAAGGGGCGACACTTTAGCACGCCAAGGCTGTACAAGAGCACAAAAAAGCGGCAATGTACGCCTAAGTGGAATCAATCATGCGTCATTCTTCTGAAAGAGCTAGTCTTCAGCTGCACAGGTGGACAGTGTGCTCTCCTTTTAAGAATGAGCTGTGGTCCAAAGGTGTTAATACTGGTGATAATTACACTTCATGATGTTTCACAAACACTGGAGTTCTCAAGAAAGCCAACTTGTTCTATCTCATAAGAGGAACAAGTAAAGATTTATTCCAGGCTGAACAGAGAAAACGAGAAACACGACACTTCATCTGTGGAGCCCTTTTCGGGTGTGTGAAGGCTCCCCAACTGAAACATTGTGTTTCTTTTCTTCTCTTTTCAGCATGGAATTAACCTTTACTTGTTCCTTTGCAGCCTACGCATGATGACGCAGCTTCCTACTTGAACTATCTCATAAGAGGCCCGCTGTACTGTAATGAAGGCCAATCACCAGTTGTCGTGACAATTCTCGTTTCATACAGTCCGCACTGATGGTGTTTCCTGTATGGTCAGGGGGAGGGAGAGACATGAACAAGCTTCACCTTCAAGGTTCTGGTGGTGTACCCATGATGCCGTTGGCTTGGACGGGGCAGTTCTCACTGGGTTCTCGGCCTGTGTCTGGCCTTGTCCACCTTCTTCTTCCTTATCAGCATCTGTAAACTTTTCCTCTGAGTCATCATCATCCTCATCCAGGTCCTCAAACTTCTCTTCCTCGCCTTCCTGCACACCAAAGATCAGTCATGGGGGTTTAGCAGAGCTCAGAGTTTTCATTCTTCCCAGATATGTGGTTAGAAAATAAGGCTGTCTTTTCACTTTTTTAAAGAATTCAACAGGAAAATATTAATTATTCAATTTTCAATAACTACCTTTGATTATGGCAGGTACAGTAATCCCTCAGTTTAACAGGCTAAAGAGGTGTCTGTTAAAGTACACGTCCATTAAATTACATACAAGGTTTTAAAGTCCCAAAACACTATTATGAGAGAAAAATAATCACTATATGTTATATATACACCATATATGTATATATTTACTGGATCTTTTACTTTTTTAACAATTGCAATCAACAATTCTGTGCCTTTAAAAATAAATATACAATCTCTTTATTTCATATACGATACATATACTGTATACAATTTGCTAAAGCATATGTAACACAAACAACACCTGTCGTAAACCTATGGGGCACCGTTGATATTCCTGAGCTTAAACCTATTCAGTATTTATTTTTATTTTGTTTCATTATTTGTACATTTCATTGTTATTGCAGGGAAGGTCAGGTGTTTGGGGGATCTTTACAGACATCATTTCCCTTAAGCCTATTAGGACTGTTAAATCCGAAGTCTGTTAAAGCAAGGTTTTACTGTGGTCTGTTATCTGAACTGATCTGACAGGCCAAACAGCAATGCCAAGAGCTTACCCCGTTCTCCTGAAGCAGGATTCGCAGGCCCGGCTTGGCCTTCATGACCTCCGACACGAGGTAGAGGGCTCCACAGATGAAAGTGGGGCTCTGCTCACAGCTGACCTGTAGGAGCCTCTTTACAAAGGCCTTCACTCTGCGCAGTACAATGTCTGCCTTCAGGGACTTATAGAGCAGGTTCAGAAACATGGCTTGCTTGGAACACTGCGAGAGGCCAGGGTCCAGTAACTTCCTGCAACACAACATTTCAAACGCATTTCAAATTCAGACATCACGAGGAGGAGGAAAACTAAAAACCAAAACAGTGGTTTATTTCTATATTATACTTAAGCTAAAAGAGAAAAATGTTTTTCAGCCTTTCAACAGATTAATAACACCCGTCATAAATAAACCCTTGTCCAAAATAATGTTTTCTAATGTCCTCTATACATAACCATGCTTTTGGTTTATAACCAATAACAATGACTAATGTAATCAACACCAAATCCCTCATTCATATAAGTTCTTATTAAAATAGTTTACTATATATCTCTTTCTTTAGAAAGCTGATGCAACAAATCTCTCGAGAACAAATGCATTCCACTAGAAAAAATGTACTATAACTCTATTACTATAACCCTACCTAAACCTCTGCTCTACCTCTTTTTTAATACAGACGTAAAACTGCAGTAAAAGTATGACACTCTCTAGTTTTACTGGTATTGATAAGATTGATAAGAAGACCTGAAGAAGACTCCACAGCCAAAAACATGTGTTTCTTTTCTCCTCTTTTCAGCGTGGAATAAACCTTTACTTGTTCCTTGATATCTTCTTCAAGACCTACAAATACTACTCTTAACGCCACTGCTAATCAAAATGGGCATAGTTTCACAGCCACCACTGAATCTCCTCTCTTAAAACACAATTCTCACGGTCCGAAATGACCTTTTAAATACAGCAATCAGGAAGGAAAAAATGTTTATGCGTACTGGGAGAATACATTTAAACCGTGGCTTACTTGTAGAGCGCAACGTAGTATCGATCGGAGATGGTCTGCTGTGAATCCATTACTTGAAACAGAAGCATTAAAGCCTGGACAGCGGTGTTAAATTTGACTAAATGCACCACTTTAAAGAGAGTGTCCAGCTGCTCCTTTATTTTCTCGTCTCCTGCCTCGGAATAAGGGTAGGCCCGATTCACGCCAGACAGCAGGGCGCTCAGCATTTTGGACTCAATGTCTTTCTTCTTGATGCAGGCCCGGAAGAAAGAGAAGTAGATACTGATCAGCTTGTTGGCCAGATTGCTTTCTTCGTGGCTTAGCAAGATCTGGTTGAGGAAACAGACGGAGTAGTACTGTGCCTTGAGACTGATGTTGGGCCTGAACATCAGCCTCTCCACTTCACCGCACACCACCGTCTTCATGTTTGGATGCTTGCGTAGCAAAGTCTCCAACAGGTAGGAGGCCTTGGCGGCTGTTTTGTATTCGGGATCTCCCAGCTTGTTCACAACTTGGTTGAGGAGGGCCTTCTCCTGCTCGGGTCTGGAACACAGCAGCTCGTGAGCGGTTGTCAAGGCCCGGGCTTTGGTTGCCATAACAGTGTCGTGCGCCAGACCGTCCAGGGCCACGACAAACTCCGCTACCTGGTGCTTCAGGTGGTGCTCGAAGTACCAGAGGATGAGGCGGCGGTCCCGGGCGTCCCTGTTTCCGCTGGACAGCTCCTCGACTTTGTCGAAAGGGTGCTGGGAGAAGGCCTGCAGCTTGCGGTGCTCTGGGAGCAGGTCTGACAACAGGAGCTCTCGGAAAGTGTCCAGGGCCATTAGGCTCTGCCTCCGGCTGCCCTTCTTCTTGATCAGGCTGACCAGCGTCTCCACAAACTGCAGGCAATGGACCGGAGCGTCCTGAATGAGAACGGTCATCGCTGCCATCCTATCCACCAGCGTGCCAGTGGAGACGATGGTCTTCATCCAGGTGGAGCTGGCACCTTTCTGCACGTTCTTTTTGCTTTTGTACAGCTCCGTCTCGGCTTCGAACAGCTTCTGGGCCAGGGCTTTGTACTGGGAGACCAGCGCTCCGTCCTGTGGCTGGGAAGTGAATTCGTTACTATAGTCCAGGTCGTACCACTTGCCACCAGGCTTGATCAACAGCACCTGCCTCGGCTGAAACTCAAACACGTTGATTTTTGGCTTCGTCTTCTTCCCTGTGCTGTCCGCAGTAAGAGTCTTTTTGCTCTTGCTGGGCTTTTCATTCTGCTCGGTCCCCTGGTCCTTACTTTTCTTTTCTGCCTTCCCTTTTTCTGCTCCCGCTTTTTTGCCCTCCTTCTTCTGGCCGGTGTCCTTCCTGCCCTGCTCCTGGGGCTCGTCGTGCACGATGTGCCAGGACTCCGAGTGGGAGCGGATCCCCAGCTTGTTGATGAAAGCTTCCAGCTCGCCATCCTTGAGGTCGTCGATGGCCCCTTTCTTTCCTCCATCCGTCAGCTCGATGGACTCGTCTACGGACACGAGCATGGCATAGTCTGCCTGCAGAGAGGAAAGGGGAAAACGCATGACGAGATTCACGGGTTCAAGCACCACACAGTGCAACACGCACTGCAGTTCACCGTCCTCTGTCAGGGGACAAGGAGGTGCACTAGTTCATCTGCTGCCATTTGTCTCCAGGATCATCATCAATGGCATCCACCTCTTAATGTACAGACTACAATGCAGTCCTGAGAAAGCTCAGCCAATCATTATTCGCGTATCTACAGGCACCTTCCATATGTAGAGTCTGTCATCAGTTTGTAGAGGAAGAAATCACAACTGAGGTTAGGACTTAGAACATAAGATTGTTTTCAGTTCAGTCACTGTCACAGAAATCAAAGTGGAAAATATTCACAACATACTAAAAACTTCTTTGTGAAAGCCTTTTAGTGTTCTAAACTGTGGGAGAATCCTTATTTGTAACGCTGGAGTCAAGAATGGGTCACAGCTATGTTGTAATAAATGCAGATTTTTGTTTTCTATGGATGTCTGAAAGTACGATAATTAAAAGAGGAAAAATCACAATATCACGCATTTTGTACACAAAACACCATCAGACAAAGGGCTTTATAAAATTACGCAAATCAACACGGGGAAAAAGTTGTTTAGTGCACTGCAATTCGAGCAACATTGCAAACTCGAAACATTCGTTAAAAAGCCGGACTTTTAAAGCAGTGAAACGACCACAGACATACTCCTTTTTCGAACGTGCTGAATTATAATAAATCATTATACTCATAATAAATCATTATTCAACGTAACAATTAATTTTCTAAAGTTCCCGAGGCACGCTTGTTCAAATCCCATCAACGCCACGCAGAGCAACATACCTTAGTCCCTCCCAGACGTAAAACGTCTTCCAAGGTAAATTCATCTTTAGAATTTCCCTGATCCCCTTCCGTGCATGACTCTCCTTCTCCCTCATCTTCATCTTCATCTTTTGCAGGTTCATCGTCATCCAGATTTTCTTTAAATGTTTCTAACTCTCCCTGCCGTTTTCGAACCATGCTGGTTTTCAGAGCATGGACACCTTAGAGAAACACCCTAGGCCACAGAAGGGAAATAACAATATACACAGAAGAAAATAAAACCCATCTAATCAGAAGACATTAAAGTGGGATAAATAATGAAAATAAAAACGAAATGAATATATATATATATATTTGATATGGATATTTATGTTTCTTTCTCAGTCTTATTTTTAATTATGCTTTAATTTTTCTTGATCAAACAGGACCTGATGGACGGACTGCTACGCACGGGTTCAAAGTTGAAAGGTAAACGCATCATGTGATCACGTGGTGTGCCCCAGCCAGCTCTTTACGATACGAGTATGTTATTATAAGGTAGTAAGGTGCTGTTTTCAACAGTAACGTGAATAGTGTCCTGAAGTATTTATACAGTACTGCGTAAAACCATGAAAATATTAATGCAATTAAAGCACTTACACAGAGCTTTCAAGCAACTCAGTGCGACGAGATGCTTAGGTAAGAGAAAATGAAAAACGAGCTGGGAAAGCATGATATGTAGAATTAACCACTGTCGTATTGAGGTTTAATTTGTGACTGATGTTATTTCCAAGGCATTACAATTAAACGATTTTTGAGAATAAAATAAAGATATGGATGCTGCACATTGGTGGTGGTGGAGGGGAGTCCCCATTACCTGTAAAGCGCATTAAGTGGAGTGTCCAGAAAAGCGCTATATAAGTGTAAGCAATTATTATTATTATTATTATTATTATTATTATTATTATTAACTCCTTCATGAGCACAGGTTCGACAGCTCTTCATGTTTTGCTGGCAGGCGTGGGTGTGTTTAAGCGAGCGGTTTAAGCAGCTGTGTGCTGGAGGCGTCTGTTTCTCCTCACATTCTCCCCTCACAGTCTCTCTTTCCACTTCACCGGTGAGGCAGTCAAAGCCCTGCGCGAATCCCGGTGGCAGTGCCGCTGGACCCCTGAGCAAGTGACTTAACCCAGTGCAGCGACTGACCTCGTTGGCGCCGTAGGAAGAGCGCCGGTCTGAGAAAATTAACTAGACAAGAGTTGTTTGAAAAAGCAACTCCTATACTTGAGTCTACACTACACAATACATACACTATTTGTGTACCTCGATTTTCTGAAGGCCTTAGAGAAAGGTTTTAATAAGGGGTGAAGTCTCAAGTCACAGAGAGTAGGCATGTAGAGAGACTGAGAATAGGTTAATGGATAGAAACCACAGAGGACAGATGAGTAAATGCTGACTTTGGTTTGCTCTAATAAGTGGAGTAGCACAGGGGTCTGTACTATGACCACTGATCTTCCTAGTTTATGTCAGTGATCTGGATTCTGGTGGTTAGTACACCCGTCAAGTTTGCAGATGGTAGTAAAAAAGGAAGATGAGCATACACTGTCGAAACAACAAATTAAATTCCACAAGATTTAAATTTATTTCTTGACTGGGCAAACACATGCAGAGAAGCACAGGTTTTTTGCATGAATATAGTGGGGAAAAAAATATCAACTACAAACACTAAATGGGAAATGCTTGATGAGCGTGACGAGTCTATTTTTTAAAGAGACTTCGGTGTTTGTGCTGATGTAACAGGGCTCGTGCGCTGAGCCAGTTACAGAAGTGACGTCACCCCCCTCTGGAATCTGGACAGGGTGAAACTCTGCTGGAGCAGGGTATTGTGGAATAGAGCAGTTCTTCTCTGGCTGTTGCGTGGTTCTGTGTGGCTCTGGGGTCTCTGGTGGCTGGGACTGAGCAGGGGCAGACCAGAGCCACCCTAGTCTCTGCTGTTGTGCTGAATTATCACGTGGAGGAGAATGAGGTGTCATCGTGTGGTAGGGTCGTCTGCTGTCTAGGGATCAGCACTGTTCGGGACATGGGACAGGGACTGAACCCTGGCAGGGGCAGGGAGAGTTTCACTTGTCACCTGGACACATCTGTATTTTCTAGGCAAATTGGGGAAACAGTAACAGCAATAAAGAGTCAAAGAAAATGAGACAGAGGTGTAATGGACTATTTTAATGTGCTGTAGTTAGATTTCTCATTGCTTTGTTTTTGCTCCAGAAAAATTGATAATTTCTCAGTCCAGAGCTTACTCGAATACTCCCCAAGAAGAACTCCTGGCCAGCACTCCAATGCTAAAACATCTCACATCTCTCATTACTTTGCTTTTGCTCCAGGAAAATGGATCGTTTCCCAGTCCAGAGCTTACTCGAATACTCCACAAGAGGAACTCCTGCCCAGCACTCCGATGCTAAAACATCTCGCATCCAAAATCCAGTCAACTGGCCCTATTTCAGTAGCTGAGTACATGCGAGAAGTTTTAACTAATCCAGTTTCGGTATGAAAGAGTTCATGTTCAACACAGTAATGCACATCTAAGACTAGTTAGAAATAGTTCAGAATTAATTTATTGTCTTTGGATATATTTTTAATAGTGCTTTTAAAGCTAATCTTTGGCTGGGCTTCTTATGCCTACATCCTTTGGTTAACAAATCCATTCCTTTTGATTAGTATTGTTTTGTTCTTTTTTTAACGCTGTCAGATGCCTCTTTTAATAAATTAATTTGTCCTGAGAATGTTAAATAGAAAGAACGTTTAATATTCAATTTAACATTAAAAAACAGTGACCTGTCTTAACACTTTGTTTTCTTTCTTTACAGGGTTACTATGTGCGTAATGATATGTTAGGACCCGAAGGAGACTTTGTAACATCGCCTGAAATCAGCCAGCTCTTTGGGGAGGTACTGTCCCAGTATCTACATAGAATTTTCCTCAACGTGACACATCCAGGGCTGGGATCTGGGTTTAGTTCCTAGGGCTCTGTTTGCATAGAGTTTGCGTGCTCTGGGGGCTCCTGTTTCCTCCCACGGTCCAAAAACACACTGGTGTGCACGTGTCTCTGTGTGCCCTGCGATGGACCTGTGTCTGATTCTGCGAGGGACTGCAAGGTACTTATATGCCCAATGCTGCCCGAGATGGGCAGTCGGCTCCACTGCAAGCCTGTATTGGATAAAGTGGTTAACAGGGAAGTGAGATCCCCAAGGATTGCGTCTCCAGTCGTCTCCGGTGAATGTTAGGCCTCTTTTGACTCTTGCACAGGCAGTGGACTTGTTTTACAAAAAGAAATGGTGTCCACAGTGGTCACCGATGTACAGTTTCATTCAGATACGCTGCGGCTTTACAGGGGAGAGAGTCTTTGTGACAAGGAAGAGAGCGCTCCGCTGACTGGCTCTGTCCCGTTTTCTCCATGGCCTTCCTTCTGCAGCTGCTGGGAATCTGGTGCATTAGTGAGTGGATGGCTGCGGGAAAACCGAAGGAATTCCGACTGGTGGAGTTTGGTCCTGGAAGAGGTTCCTTGGCCAGCGATATCCTGCGGGTGAGTCTACATCATGGCCAGTGTGTAGGATCAGACGCTTCTCACGTGATAGAGAATAGCAGCAGAGGAGACAGATACACTCCCTGTATTTAGATGAGTACCACTTAAACATCTGAGGTATGATAAAACAAAAACAGCAATATATGAATTATATAGCATTTTAGTTATGTACAATACCCTACATGTCTCTGGAACTTCCCAGGGAGTGTGTTATGGTTACCAAGGAGCTTTTTTGCAGTTTAGCATAAAATCGGTAGAGGGAGCTGTTTCCCTGCATTAGCTCTGCTTTTACATCAACTGTACATTTTCTTTATTTTTAAACTGTAGTCATTTATTCACCTTTATGACAACACATGGGCCCTTTCTTTAACCATAGCTGTGAATTTGTAATTCCTTTCATCTACCCAAAATGATAACAAGAGCTGCTGTTTTAAAGGGTGTGGTTTGTGGCCAGCAGCATTAAAAACTTCCAGTTCCAACCTGATCCTCGTCTGACCTGTCCGCTCTGGGTTGTACATGAAAGCTGCCGGGGAACCAGACACAGAACATAAATTTTAATATGCTCTTTTAAAACATCTAGTAAAAAATTGCATTATTGCGTCATTTCCCGAGAACAAAAATCATCAAATTATAAAATACTTAGAATATATCATGCCTAACAAAACATTAACAGTGACTGTAATGCTCTGAATGGGCAAAATAATGTGACAAAAGGGGGTCAATGTACAATCCCCTGTGTTTGAAGACCCTTTTTTAACACACTGGTCCAAATCCGTCTTGATTTGGGCATTGCTAATCCCGAACATGATAATCCAGAGTATTTTTCAGTTAGCTTTGAAGACATGACTGCTTAAATTGGGCATCAGTGCATTTGCCAGCATTGAAGGCTTGTATTTGGACTGTCATGAAGTGGCCTGCTGAAAGAGACAGCCGTGTCTGCTAGAGTCCGATGGGGCTCGGGTGTTTTTCGGAAGCTGGTGAAAGAGAGCCGAAGGGGTGGAGGACGGATGTAGATGGCAGGACAGAGAATGAGGGAGGGAAATGACGAGTGGGATCTGGACACGACTGGAAGCAAGCTCAGCCTTCAGGCAGAAAGAGACAGGGAGGCTGTGCTGCCTTGTGGAAGACTGGCCAAGGGATCTGAGCCACTGGTCTAGCGCTGGGCAGGAGACCAGTTGCTGAAAGGCAGATCAGATTCAGGACAGACTAGGGGTCTTTCCTGCAGATTCAGACAGAGTATACTTTGGTGATGCGGGCCAGTACTGCTAAGTGCACTTCCATGGTTTTGAAGCACCTCAATGACAGAGCATTAGATCAGTGGCAAAGCGGAGTCTACGTAGTGTGGTCTCGTTGGGTTGAGCACAAGCAGACCCCAACAAGCTCCAGTAGGACTGTGGCTCCTCATGGGAATGCACCTGTTTACTGAGGAAACCGTGGCCTGTGAGCTCCTGTTCACCTGGGTGTAAAATCTCTGAGACACAGAGAAACAGAGATGACAGATGTACAATATATGCATACCCCTAAATCTGGGGTAAGAACATAAGGACAGTTACAAACAAGAGGAAGCCATTTGGCCTATTTGGTAGTTGGTAGTTAATAGATCCAAAGATCTCAGCCATATCCTGAAAGACATCAGAGTTTTGGCTTCAACAGCAGGGCCAGTTAGCTTGTTTCATATGCCCACAACCTGTGAAAAAGAAATGTTTCCTTTTCATGATTTTAAATACACTTACACATAGTTTCCACCTGTGCCCTCTGGTTTGTGTTTAACAGTTCGTTTTGAAGAAGTTGACTTTGTCAGTGTCCTTGAGGATTTTAAAGACTTGTTCCAGGTACCCTCATAGTCTTTTCTGTTCAAGACTGAGAAGGTCCAATTCTTCTAGCCCACAAATGATCACATGGGGCAAACTAACTATCCTGCATGTCAGGTCATATGACCCATTAGATTTGGAAGACCTATCGAGCTCCAAAGAGATAATGGGCCATGTTACACTTGCACTTGATTTACAATAGTGAGTGCAAAGATACACATTGATACAAATGAAAAAAAGTGCACTGGTGTTTAAATGGTAATAGCGCTGCTCAGAAAATAGATGGAATCATGAAACAACAGAAGACAAGTGCGGTGTTTTAATCCACGATGCTGTTCTGTCTGAGAAGGAGCTCACTGGGTGTGGAATTTCATGTAGCATTGACGGTAATTGACCCCAGACAAACTTTCAAGAAATGCTTAACCGCTTTTGTATTTATTTTTTTCACTTAGTGTTAATATGAGAGGAGTAAGCGTTTAAAATCCTCATTAAAGAGGCAAGGATACGAACAATCTCAACTCTCTTTCTGTCACTGTCTTGCTGGCTAGTTGCCTGTTACTAGGAAACAGGAGACAAGTTGCCCATCCTATTAGTCTTTGGAGGAGAATAAGTGGGGCGGATCTGTGGCTAAGGATCTGCGCCTGTGGCTGGAAGGCAGAGCAAGGCCCTTAACCCCAGCTGCTCCAGGGGTGCTGTATAAATGGCTGACCCTTCGCTCTGAGCCCAAGTTTCTCTCCCTGTCTGTGTGTCTCATGGAGACAAAGCTGGGGAATGCGAAAAGACAAATTCCTATTACAAGAAATTTTATATAGCCAATAAAGTGATCTTATCTTATACAATGGGAAAACATGAAATGCAATTGTGCGTTTTATGTTTATATTGATTTAATGTGCAGAAAAATCTAATGTTTAAATAGAGGTTATGTAGACTTCTTTCACATAGAGAAAAGTAAAGCTTGCAGTTTGACCCAGGGCGCCCAAGCTTTTGCATACATGTGTACATTGCTGTACTACAATTTTGCCCATCATGTGACACCCCTTCAAGTCTTATTTTACCAGAATAACTCTTCAGTGCTTCAGTGGTGGTCTGATTAAGGGTTCAGTTAGGTAACTAAGTGCTCCAGTGGAAGACAAACCAGCAGATGTGTAGGATCCCAGCAGCAGCCTCTGCTCTGTCCTCAGTGTTTTCCCACTTTAGACTCATCATGGATTTGCTAAGACGATAGTGACTGGCGCTTGTAATATTTTCTCAACAAGATAAAAATCGGCAACACTAAAAATGGATTGCGCTCCAAGTATAAGAGCTTAAGAGATTTCTTAAGCTCTTATACTTCACACGATGCCGTTTGGCCTGCGGCTGTACCGCTGCTGGAAGCGGAGTGTGACGGCTGGTTGGGAGCCGGGATCCTGTTCAGAAACAGATGATTCCCAGGTGTCTGGGGGAAGTCTTCCACTTCCTGCTGCTTGCTTGCGATCTGAGCCAGTTTCCTGTGCTCCAGGTGTTCGGCCAGCTGAGGTCAGTGCTGGCCGGGTCCAGGGTGTCCATTCACCTGGTGGAGGTGAGCCCCAAGCTGAGCGAGGTGCAGGCGCAGCGTCTCACCGGGGGCCGGAGCGAAGCTGCGGGCAGTGAGAACGACCCCACCTACCGCCAGGGGACCACCGACACAGGCCTGCCCGTATTCTGGTACAGGGGTTTAGATGACGTCCCGAAAGGTAACGTCGTTCTTCTTTCCAGTCCTAAAGTATGAAGTTACAGCTATTACCATATTTTCTGAATAAATATGTCTGCCTTTGTGGCCACCTAATGAGATGTGTTTTTTCCTGATTTAGGCTTCAGCATCTTCCTTGCCCATGAGTTCTTTGATGCCTTGCCGATACACAAATTCCAGGTACAGCTGTTATGGTGCTTGTTTGCCCGTGTTTTTAGGCTCTGTTTAGCAGTCTTGCCTAACATAAACTTTAGAAGATGAAGTCTTTGCAACAAGGAAATGTTGTCCTCGTCGCGTGAGAATTTGAAAGTTTGCTCAAATCGGGGGGTGACATTTTAGTTTTTTTCTTCCAATTTCTCAATTAAGGTAATTATGTTTTCATTTTAACAGAGAACAGAGCAGGGCTGGAGAGAGGTGATGGTTGACATTGAGCCCCAGGTTCCCAATAAGCTACGGTTTGTTTTATCACCAACACCTACATTGGCTTCATCCACTCTCCTGCAGGTGACGTACCTTCCCGATGATATTTTCATATTTTTATAAGAGAGTACGTTTTTGCAGCATGAATTTTCTGCCTGTCTATTTCTTAGCATTTGTCATTCTTTGAAAACTTGAGTATATACGGTTATGAAGAGGGGTTCTTGTAATAGAGATAGTCACATATTGAACTGGAAGTAGTGTACAGGTTAATGGTAAATGCAGACAACATTGAGTACATGCGGTTTCTAAAAGTGAAATAATATCATTGCCCCCACTAGTCAGGAAATAGGGAGTGAGGCCACATGGCTTCTTTTTGGATATTTTGATGGTGGTGAAATGAACAGGCATTAACTTAAAAGAAAAATATTTATTAAAAAAAAAGTTCATACAAACAGCATGAAACACCAAAAATGTTTTCAAAAGGAGTGATTTCTCAAAGCTCAAATTCACAGCCCAGCTCCTTCCACTAGATCCGTAACACTGGCCATTCTCCTGTACTCAGAGGTGGATATAAATCTTTATAAGAGCCAATAGGATAAATAGCCATCTGCAGTTAAACTTGTCCTCTAACATTACATTAAAAAAGAGATAACCATTGGTCCCTAACAGAATGCATCCAGACGAACAATAGAGACACAGTTTGCCTGGAGAATTTACAGAAGGAAACTTAAATAGCTAAACACATATGAAAGTCTAGCCTCTTTCCCAAACCTTAGTGGAGGTCCCTTCGACTAGAATGAAGGGATCTAGTGATTAGCCCTCCCACTTCTGTGTACTGCTTTGTTCTTCATTGCTCCTATATTAGGTCTATTCCAGGACTTCCAGTCTGTATAGTTGTCCCACCACCTACCTGGGCACCAGAGTGTCACAATTATAAGCTGGATAAAAATGGAATTACGGAAAGCACCTCAAAACCTTTACATCAGCACAGAAAGCGAGGCCAAACTCAAGACAAACTGGACAACTCTCCTTTCAGCAAGCATTTCCACTTTAATAATCATTGTTCTTTCGTTCAGTTTGTTTGTCCCATGCACAAGTGCGGTGAAGCATGTGTGCTCCGATATAAAGACGTTCAGGAAACGCCAGACTTCAACACAGCACAAAAACGACAAAGTAAAATAACATACAACTTAAATAAAATCAGCACAAAGGGCGAGCAAAAAAAAGACATGGGTGTGAGGCAGTGGTAGAAGTAGAATTCAGTAATCTGACAGTTTGTTGAAAGAAACTGTCTGTATCTGGAGGTTCGTGCCTTTATGCGCCTGTAATTCTTACCAGACAGGAGGGGGGAGAAAAGTGAGAAACCAGGATGACTGGTGTCCTTAGCAATACTCCCAGCCTTCCTGAGGCAGCGAGTTGTGAGAGGGGAGCTGTACGATAATGGACAGAGCTGATGTAATGTCTTTTGGGTAACAACGAGCTGCTGACAAACCACACTGTGATACCACACGTGAAAACACCCTAGAAAATTATAGTTTATTATTATCAATTAAATAAACATCTGAGGTTTTAAGTAAAACATAATTCTTAATGCTTCTGTGTTGCACTACAGTCCACATTTCAAAAACAATCTACATATTTTTGATCAAGCCTGGATCTGTAATGAGCACTTGCTAGATAAGCATTCGTTTTTGTCTCAAATCATGGAGTCACAGTCAGGTTTTCCAAAAGCGCATTCATTTTTATTTGCACTTTTAAGATAAGATAAGATCACTTAATTGGCCATATACAGTTTCTTGCATTAGGAATTTGTCTTTTCATATACCCCAGCTTGCTCTCCATGAGACACACAGACAGGGAGAGAGAAGCTTGGGGTCAGAGCGCAGGGTCAGCCATTTATACGGCGGCCCTGGAGCAGTTGGGGTTAAGGGGCTTGCTCAGGGGCCCAACAGAGTAGGATTCCTCTGCCGGCCACAGGATTTGAACCGGCAACCTTCCAGCCACAGGTGCAAATCCTTAGCCACAGAGCCACCACTCCGCCCTGTACCATATTGGCATACCATTAATTTCATGGCAGGGTCTCAGTGCCAGTGGCCAGTGCCAGTGGTGAATCCATTCACCCAGTGTCTTAGAAGTGGCAGAATAAATTCTTCAGACAGATATGTGAGGATAAAAATCCTTACGATACCTTGATAAGAACAGCATGCTCTGCATTGTGAGCAAAGTAAATATAATAAAACTGTACTTTCTTAATGTTTCACTAATCCATCTGTATTTCATTACACACATTGATGCAGTATATATGTTATAGACCTGTTTGATCTGTGCCTTTTTGAGATGCCTAGAAAAAACTTTTAATGTCATTCCAAGCCTTACATCATATGTAGGTTCTGAGCACGGTTATAAATCTTGGCTTCAGACCACAACTAAAGGCAATGGCTCTCAAGTTTCACAGGCTCTTTGTCTAGCTGGGACTTTAACTTTTTAGAAGGGCATTTTTATTATTACAAATGTCTATAAAATCTTTTTTGAAGGCTTGCCAGGTCCTTTAGCTGTGGTGATTGCTCGAGAGACAGATAGCAATTTTCTACCTATAAAATATTTTTTAAAAAGGAGAGCAGATGTGTGATGATTATTGAACACCGTTCCTTGCTAAGGATTTTCCTTCAAAGACCCCCAATGCTGGCAAAATGTACTTGCAGCGATTAATGATCTTGTAAATAAAAGAGCTTGAATAAAACACTAAAATTGTATTTTTACAGCATATTAGGGACCTTTGTCAGATAATTGTGATGTACTGTAAAAGCAAGTTAGTTTTCAGCTTCAACAGATGGAATGTATGGTTGACGCATGTGAAAGAAAATTCTCAGCTAAGGACAAATAAAAATACAAGACCCAAATTAAAGATATAATTGACTTTTAGCATATTGTATACTGTGGCTGGAATTAATTACAGATCTGAAATCAAGAGCCGAAAATTACAGCTGACTATGTTATTATTAGACTGTATGCAATAAGGCGGTGTCAGTACCTTTTGTAACATACACAGGATTAAGGTGTGACATCTCAAAACAGAAATACATATTGACCAGCTAAAACAACATACCAGCATGTGTTAATGGTAGTGAAGGTGTATTTATGTAGCTCTAATCTTTGTTTTATATAGCACGTTTAATGGCACATCATCTCATGCCATTTTACAATAAGTCAAAACACAAGAGACATCGGACATCTAGAGTGGTTCAGTGGCACAGTGGTGAGCACTGCAGCACTGGGGCCGTGGGTACAATTGTGGACCTGGGGCGCTATCTGTGTGAAGTTTGTATGTTCTCCCCATGTACATGTGGGTTTCCACACGCTAAAGACAGTGCATGTGTGCGTGTGTGTGTCTGCACTGTGTTAATCTGGCATCCCATCCAGGGTGTACCCTGTCTTGCACCCCTTGCTTGCCAGGATAGGCTCCGGCTCCCTCACAGCCCTGTTGTGGAAAAAGTGGTTAGAAAATGGCTGGATGGATCAAGCATCTAGCTTGTTTTGTAGTTACTGTAGTAGATAAAAGATAAGACCCCAACATTAATCATCTGCTAACTGGGTCACATCCTGGATGGGCTGAAAGGTCTCCTCTCATTTGCAACCTTTCTTACATTTTTAGGATACAGAATTAAAACCCAGAGAATAAAACTGAGTTGTAACATGGGATTTGAAAGTGATTACAGACTTCCAAAATCTGGGCTGGGAGGTCATAGTCTTGGAGCCACAGAGCAGAAAGCACAGACTCTCAGTGTTCAGAGCCTATTACCGGGAACTGAAAGAAGGCTGAAGACAGCTAGTTTGGAAGCGTAAACAAGATTAACAGTTCATTCATGTAGCTGGGATCTAAGCTGTTTAAGCCCTGAAAGGCAAGAGGCAGTATTTAGATTTTTTTATTTAACTTAATGCTGTTTAAAAATTAAGGACATGGTATATACTGTATATTCAGAAAAATTGACTTGCCATTCCTAAATCAGAGCTTGCTTCTCTTCAGAGGCTCTTCTGGGTTGTGTTGGTCAGGTTCTCATTTTTACTCATCTGTCCAGAGAACATCCTTCCAGCAGTCTTGTGGATCGTCCAAGTGCACTTTGTTAAAATTGAAACAGACAGCAACATTCTTTTTAGAGAGAACAAATTTCCTGATGGTTGAGCCACAGATGTTTCTTTTGTAGATGTTCCTTGTGATTTGATGGATGATTTTCTGTTGCTCTTGGGGAGATTGTGTCAGGACAGCTGGTCCTGTGTAGAGTCACCATGGTCTTGAATGTTTTCTACTTATAGAGTGTCTTGGATGGATAGATGGATCACCCAATGTTTAGAAATGGTTTCATAACCCTCTCCAGACTGATACAGATCAGTTTTTCTTTTTGTTAGGTCCTCTGAAAGCTCTTTTGATCATGGATTGACATGTTTCCACTAACTTGTAGGGTGAGAGCTAAACGCAAGACGTTTCTAACCATGAAATAGGATAGGGCTGCCCAAACTCCACCCTTGTTAGTTACCCTCTTAATTGCGCTGATCGAACTAGGAGTTTGCTTATTATTTCACATATACTGATTCATAAGCGCTTTTTCTGCTGCATATTCAATTCTCAGAAAACATTGAATTGGTAGCTATAATACTTTCTGGTTATTTAAGAAAAGAGCAGTTTCGATCAAGCATGGTATGAATTTATAATTGCCTTAATTATATACTGGGGGTTCCCAAACTTTTTTCTCATTTCTGTGTGTAAGGTATCTCTAGAATGACCAATATCGGGACGTTTCTTCACAGGACTCACATAGGGATCCTGGGGAATATAAGTACATTTTTCCATAGAATTAATCTTTACTCTGTCCTGGATATCTGTACGTACAGAAATGGGAGCCATGTTTTTCTCTTGCTACAGAGCTGTACTTGCTCTGGCCTGTTTTGAACAGTATAAAAAACAAGCTTAAGAATCCTAATCCTATTTTCTTCAGAACGTCTCCAACCCACTGGCTGTATAAAACACAGTACAGTTGTATTGTTCGGGAGGGAGCAGGGAGCAAAGGAGTTGGTAGCAAAAGCATTATCTCGGCTGTGGATGCCTTCCCACCTCCACCGCCGGAGCGTTCGGACTACCTCCTGCTCGCTCCGGCGGCTTTGTGAATGTGTTGCTCTCGTCTCTTCAGGCGGATGAAAAGAGGGACCACGTCGAGGTTAGTCCAGAGGCCGGGGCTCTTATTCAGAGGCTGGCCGGGCGGATCTCGCAGGACGGAGGAGCGGCCCTCATAGCCGACTACGGCCACGATGGAACCAAAACCGACACGTTCAGAGTGAGCGTTTCTGCCTGGCTGACGTGGAGATCAGCTGGACCGACCGCTTGTCGTTCTGTGTTTGTCAGTGCCTGGAGTGTTGACAGGGTCCTCCATGGCTACCGATTCACTTAATAAGAATAAGAATAATTGCTTGCACTTATATAGCGCCTTTCTGGGCAATTTACTCAAAGTGCTTCACAGGTAATGGGGATGATGGATGATGTGACAGCAGCCATAGTGCACCAGTACGCTCACCACACACCAGCTCTCAGTGGAGAGGAGAGCAGAGGGATGAAGCCAGTTCAGAGATGGGGATTATTAGGAGGCCATGATTGGTAAAGGCCAGGGGGCAATCTGGCCAGGACGCTGGGGTAACACCCCTACTCTTTTCGAGAAACACCCTGGGTTTTTTAATGACCACAGAGAGTCGTTTCTACGTCTCATCCGAAGGACGGGGTCTTTTCTTTTTTACGGTATAGTGTCCCCGTCACTATACTGCGGCATTAGGACCCACATACACACTTACACGCAAGAGGGGAAACTCATCCAGCCATTTCCCGAAGGAAGCCAGCGTATGGGTATGGGTAAAGAAGTGTCTCCTTCTCTCCGGTTCAAATGCTCTTCCACATTGTTTCCACGGGTGCTCTCTGGTTCATTCTGAAGGTCTGCGCTGTGTTAACTTGGTCAGAGCCTTTAAGGGTTTCGACGAAGGTTCAGTTCTTTCCGTCTGACGGTGTAGAACATTCCTTTATGCCCTGGAATACAATCTGCTTGCTGAGTTTACTGTACTGGTGGTAGAGCAGCAATATCTTTTCTATAACATGGTGACTGTAATTGTGCACAGTTTCCTAAATGAAATATTATTTATGATAGATCACATTTCTTTTCTTTTTTTCTTTAATGCACATTTCAGTCATTTCTGCGTGTGAGGTGCATTGTATAATACACAATAATGCAATTCTGTTTCACTGAGAAGCATGTTTCTTGTCACAGAGGGCTCCGAGTCTGAAACAAGGTATTCACCCATGTGGTCCAAACAGTTCTCCTTGGATCTTTCACGAAGAAGATGGATGAGTACCTTGGATCAATGAGATACCAATTATCAAATGAGATGTAGTAGATGGGTGTTCCCCTGTTTGTAACAATTCACGTGTTTTGATTTATGGTCTGATCGGTGCAATTCAGGATTCGGTTTTATATTTGATAAGAGGATGGTGCTTCACCTCGTTGGGGGAAGGAGAAACAGGGATGATGGGAGTTGGTCCTACTTTCCCTGGACACTGAAGCGTGTTTTTAAGCTATAGGGAGAAGCCATTCTCTTCAATCAATCGCCATTACATCAAGTCAGCTGTTCAGAATAACATTTTGGAGTAAGATCAGTCATAGCTGGAAATTTAACATTTAAATGGTTTAATCATATAGCCAAATACAAGTGTTTGTTAAATGTGAATTATGGGTGTCACAGAGTTGCATGTCTTACTGAAGTGGTATGTGGGTCAGAAGACACAGGAAGCTCTTGAAATGTCACAGTGGGCTTCCTGTCCTTACAGCAGGCGGCGATATTAACTATGTGGCAGTAAGTGGTGACCTGTCGTAGGGATGTGCAGTCATCCTTTTTGACCCCTTATCTGTAAGACCTCAGTGACAGATGTAAAATCAGTAGGCGGCCTTTGGTACCAGTAGGCGTTCTAGAATATTTTTGAAGAAATATCTTAAAAGCTCAAACAAATGACTAAGAGACTCGTGTTTCACCAGTCTTTTACATTACTACACAAACTGTTAACACAAGACAGCACACGTACCTTAAGCATCTTATTTTCAATTAACATTCCTGTAACATATAAGCTCAGCTCTGCTTTCACTTTTATTTCAAGAGACGTTCCTGTCATACTGTTCTTGTGAATAACTGCTACAGTATTCCTGCTGTTGGCGCAGGGTTTCCATGGCCACAAGCTCCATGATGTTTTAATGGCGCCAGGCACGGCGGACCTGACGGCGGACGTGGACTTCAGGTATCTCAGGAGAATGGCGGGAGACGGCGTGGCCTGTTCTGGTCCAGTCACACAGCTGCAGTTTTTGAAAAACATGGGCATTGATGTGCGGCTACAGGTGGGTATATGTATTAGCCGTGGAAAGAAAATGTAGGTCAGACTGGTTGTAACTAGTTTTACCTGTCGCAAAACATCGAGCTTTAAGTTTATTTGAAAGTTTCACTTAAATTAAGCAAAGAGCAGCACTGCCTTTGAAGGAAGTCACTGACGGAAGAGGAGACATTTGGATTTTGCACAGAAAAAATGTGCTCAATGTGTGTGTGGGGTTTCAGACATGACCCTTTCTTCAGTTAATGCTGCTTGATAATGAGAGCAGGGAAGCTGTAGCATAAACACCTGGCTAGCAGGCTCTTTTCCATTGATATGAGGTGAAGCTTTTTAGACACTTTGACCCTCCTCTCTGTATTCTACATTTCTAAAGTCTTGTGAAAGCACAGCAAATTAAGTGCTGTGCAAATGTGTACATACAAAGCTATGAAAGGCCTGAGGACGACGCCGTTGGTTTGAAATGGTCTGTCTGAAAACACAGCATTTAGATTTTTTTTCTTCTGTTCCATGAAACCATTTCAACTAGAGGGGGGATGTAGAAATTTATACTGGGACATTGACGGCTATGCCTCAGCTTCATGCGTGTTTTTCCTGCCATTCGTGTTTTAAAACTTTAATTTTAAAACGATTTTAAACAGTTTTGTCAGGTACCTTCACCGCTTACGGTAACACTCAAGATGGTATATCTATACATCATACATCCTTCATTGTTGTTTTGCCCCTAAGAAACCCTGGCTCGTCCACTGTGCATTTTGCATTCTTGTAGTTACACCATGCTGTGCTCCTCTCCTTACCAGGTTTTGCTGCGAAGTTGTACGGACACAGCCTCGAGGACACAGCTGCTGCATGGATTTGACATGATCATGAACCCCGAGAAGATGGGAGAAAGATTCAAGTTTTTTGCCCTGGTGCCTCACAGCAGGCTTGCCGTGCAAGCGCGAGGGGAAAAGACAGAGAAAAAAGCACCAGCTCCACCCCCTGTGGCAGGCTTCAGTGACTTGAAACTCTGACTGTGAAGGCGAGCTGCTGGCTCTCACTCAGCTCTGACAGACCACAGCATGCCTTAACACCTGACAGCTGGAGCAGATGGACTGATCCTTATCACACGAGTATTGTTTATTTGCAGTTCCCCCATTTTAAGCAAATTAATTTTAAGTACCTGTAATAGACGCAATAAACTATACCTTCCCTTTTTATTCGTAAAAATGATTCATATTGCCTTCATCTGTTCAAATGATTTAGAAACACTTGCAGAAGGGCTGATTTTTTTAAAGGGGAAGACTGTTCTGTCCAAGAATGAAGAAATTACAATAGATCATGCTTCCAAAAAGTAAATGGAGAACGTTTTTGTGAATATACTGTACAAGATGTAATGTATGAAACTTTTTGAATATCAAAAAGAACATGAAGATGTTTGCCATGTTTAATATTTTTTGGCCTATTTAACTAGACACAGTTTGTGTTTGTGACCAAAGCCTGATGCCTGCCTGCTGATAGACAGCCCAGGAACAGACAGGCCCTCAAGCCCTTGGAACACGGAGTGCCCTTTTGGATTAATCCAAGGAAAATGTGGTAACTTCCTTATACATGAAAGTCTTAAAAAACATCTACTTTAAATACTACTGCCACCAAGATAATAGGGTTCGCAGTTAGCACTGTGTACTGGATTTCAGTTTAGGTTCAGTAAGGTTTCCCCTCATCTGTGCATCCACTTGCTTTTGGTTTTGAAACAAGCTCTGACATTATTAGAAGCTGAGCATATTCATTTGCAGAGAGGACAGTGCTACAGTGCAGAAGTGAAACTGTGTGTCTGTGTGTCTGTGTGTGTGTGTGTAGGGAGGGGGGATTACGGTCATGCTAACGGAACTTCAGATTCAGCTCAAAACTCCAGAACATGGCTGTGTCACCAGTTGTATAGGTCAGTGGTTTACGCTGGCCCATGATATGACATTTCTGCATAATGATTAATTGTGAGGTATAACATACTGTATGACACAAAATACACAGTTCTGCTGCAGGGCGAAATAAGTACTTGTGTTTTGTCAGTTCCATCACACGAGGTTTCAAACCTACACACACTATTACACACAGGAGAGAACAATCACACCTCCTGCCGGAGTTGCAGAAGTGAAGAGCCCATGGAAAAATGTACTTTTATTAAAGAGAGGCGCAGTTGGATCCCAACCATTTTCTCTTACGGCCAAGGACATTTGACGACTTAGAATACAAACGGCTGTCTGACCCCTCACTGCAGGATGAAACTTCCCATTTCCAAAAATAGAGTACAAATAGAATAGTAAACTTATGTTGAGATGCTGCATTTTATTAATCAGTAAGTATTAAAATATACAAAACACTTTAAAGACACCTGCCAATCCAGTGGCAACACAGAAATTGAAATGATTCTCAGGATTAAGTCATGCATCTTTAACAGTTTCAGTTCAGTCAGGCCCAATTTTTACATTACATAAGGGAACGTATGCAAAAAACAAAAAAAAAAAGCATTAGCATTAAACAGTTCAACTGAGCTTATCTCACAGCCCAGTGCAGTGGTGTTATTCAGCCCTTATAACACTGCAGTATTCTCTTTCAACAGAAGAAAAGGACAAAAGTGAACATGAAACTTAATAGTGGTGCTATTAAGGAAAAATATTCTAGCAATACTGAGAAAACGGCAATGGAAACCATAACAGATGGCCGTCAAAAGTTAGATAAAAGCCGACAGCTTCAATTTTTGTATAATTCGCAACAAACTGAGTCCTTCTTTTTCACAACTGTAGTCACTGCTTAGAAGACGAACTCCATATGGTCTGGAATATTTAAGATATAAGGTTATTTAACTCAGAAATCTGTGAAATTGTCAATGTCCAGTTCACATTTGGTTGAAAAAGTCCTATTAATTGGATAAGGATGATAAGCAAAACGTGTCCTGCCCAAGATTTGTGCCTGTTAGACATCCAGTGCTGGGCATGAGCAATATTTATTATCCATAGAACTATTCTGTATAAAAATGGGCAGTTTCCTTCAAATATGCTTGTGCCAATCTTGAGATAAAGGCAGAGAAAATGTCTATCAGATATTTACAGAGACTGTTAGCTTTGGGGTGCAGATTTTGCTTACAATTCCTAAGACAGGTCTTCAGCTGCTACCTTAATTAGATTAGCAGTGTTCACTACTGCATTGTATTTTAAAAACATTAAAGTAAAGGATGGTAAAGTACTGTAGTCAGATATTAATGAGAGAAAGTATTTACAAAACTGAAAAATCAGAACAAATAAAGAATAGGGCAGTAACAGTGTTATTTTAGGTATGAAACACTCAGGCTACATGCTCTAATTTGCTCACTGTGGGCTGTGCAATAGGTGAACATAAATGGCATGAAAAGTTCCCCCAATCAAGCTGTCTGCAATTCATGTGCCCATGTTTTAAGAAAAAATTACGCCATAAACCCAACTAATCAGACAAATCTGAATATGTTTAATGAGGAATTGATAGAAACAGAAATAATCAAAAGGTCATACTGTATATTGTCAATCTGAAACTGCAAATGACAAGAAAAGGGAGTAGTAATTGTTTGCTCCATATGTCAAAAATACAAAAAAAATACATACAGAAACAAACTGCTGGATGAGTAGCAATTACTGTGTCATTGCACTCCGCATAGTATTTTCCAGTATTTGAAGGCATGGATTGTTATACCTGTGCCTTACTTAACTGACAGTAATGGATACAGAAATTAAACTAGAACACATTAAATACTGCAAAAAGTCTCAATTTTTTTTCTTTTTTAATGTGTTTTCATAAAATATCAAATCTGTTTTTGTTCAGGCCACTGTTCTTATAACCCTTGTGCAAGAAAAAAATCTACAGGTATATCTTATAAATCAGTATTTTATACTGTACCCCTGGGCAGGAGATATAAATGCTTTTTTTATGACATGCTTTAATACTTTGTAAATGTGATGTTTGATAATGACACAAAATTATCTGTAAAGAAAAGCCTAACTAAAGAGCTGAGATGTATGTTGTAGTTTTGCCTAACTATGTACTGTTCACAAGTAGCAGGAATGTCAAGATTATGGTACAGTTACTGTATATGACATGGAGGAATGCAAAGTTTTCAAAAACAGCTCAGTTACTTCTGTTACACATCTTTAAGCTTTTCAGTCAGCAATACCTTTCCTGAATTGCTTTTTTCCCATCAAGAGTTCTAAAATCCACACATGTACTTAGCATGACTTTAACGTGAATGGCTTCCACATCCCATAGACGTTTGCTGCAGTATCAGGAAATATATTTATCATTCCCTCACTCTGATAATAGGATGTATAATAATTTAGTACACATGCAATACTTCTGGATATTTATGTAGTTAGAAAAGTAATGTCTATCATGCTGTACATAGTCAATTTATAACCTGCTTCAGAGTGTTCTAAAGATGGGCCATTTGTAATAAATATAAACAAGGTTTAAAGTCTCAGATGCAAGTCATATCAAATATCCCTTTGTTCTTTCGTGGTTTTGTTTTACTTTGGTTTTCTTTGTCAATGGAATTAAGTAGCAGCTGTTACAAGTTCATCTGATTTGCCAAAGTAAGGATCAATCATTAACAAGACGAGTTGACCTATAGTGCAAAAATGTTCTATCCCCATGACATTAAACAAGATATTCAAGACAATAGCATAATGTTATATGTGTTCCAGTTTAATACCATCAAACGACAAAATCTGAAAGAAATACTTTTTAAAAATAGCACTCTTAGAATAAGCAAAATTCTTTCAAGCCGGTTATGAAAAGATTTAAACATACATATCTGTAATCTCTTTTCAGATTTTACTTTAAAAAAAATAGTTTAAGGAAAGTGAAATAACCAAAGTGCCCTTCCTCTTCCATTTGGTCCATGCTTTAGCCCTTTACTGGAGGTTGTGGTGGAAGTTTATAAGCTAGATTCCAAGAGCAGAATCCACAAGCCCAGAGGAAGTCCTTTTCCAATGCAAAGCAGAGTTCGCTTCCTACTTTACGCTTTGGACTTGTGGGATGGGGAGATTCTTTAAAAAAAAAAAAACGAGCCGAAAAAAGAAACGTCTCATCAGATCCCAGGAGCGATTGAAACGGTTCTGAACACCGTCAGTCCACGCAGCCTCTCGGTGTCACGTCCACCTCGGGTCCACTGGCGCGACCTGGCACTGCACACAGAGCCTGCCACGGCCGCCCGTCCTCGTTGGGGGGCGTCTCCGCGGTGTGTTCCGCCCGAGCACAGCCAAAACCGTCCCAGCGGATCTCAGGTGTCACGAACAGTTCCTGTGTCTTTCAATGAGCAGGACCCCTCCCGCCTCTTCAGTCCTCCATGCAGGCGAGATCTGGCCGCTAAGGGTCCTCCTCCATGTCGTCCAGGTTGGGAGCCATGATGAAGTGCTTGGGATAGGCCAGGTTGTGCATGTCGGCGTACTCCTCCCAGCGCGCGTCGTCGCTCTCGTGGGTAATGTATCGCTCTCCTATCCGCGTCTCGAACTCCCTGAGGTCCAGCCAGGTCTGGTAATCCTGGGAAGAGGCGCGAAACGAGCATTACAGCTAGCGCTTAAAAAGACTGACACGGTCAAGGATGATGACTTGGCACCGATGTGAACAAACACCACAACGATAGTCGACCTTTTATAAAAAAAAAACTAAACGCACATCCCTCAACTAATGAACATATGGGTTATATTCCAAAGCCCTGTTCATAAATCGACTTTCAATTCAAAGGTCATTGCCCCTCCGGTTTTAAGGATTTGACGTCACTGTCACTTTTCTATTCCGTTTTGTAAAGGCTACTAACACAAAAAAAAATACCGTAACTATAAAATAACAGATCAAAATTTGGATGTTATCACAAATAAAATCATGCTGTCACTGGGTGAGTGACTCCCTAGTTTCAGTTTGTTGTTCACACATTGGCATGAAATTCATACTGTTCTTATGGGAACCGGATACTGTAGCTTGCTGTATTTTGGTACAGATGTTCATTTCTCATGAAACGAGTGTACTTCCCCCTCAAGCTTTTTGATAAGCTAGCAGAAAAGGGTATTAATCAGACTCTCTGTTATTGGCTACTGGATTTCCTTTCTGATAGGAAGCAGGTGGTGAAGCAGAAGGATACCATCTTTAAGTCCCTCACCCTGAGCACAGGCGCTCCTCAGGGTTGTCTTATCATGTCTGCTTTGCTCTCTGTACACAAATGACTGTATTTCACACTTGGACGCAGTCAAAATGTTCAAGCTTGCTAATGATAGCACTACTCTCATAGGGCTCATCACAAACAACAACGATGAGTCGATGTACATGAATTAAGTTGGGTGAAGCCTAAATAACCTGGAACTAAATTTCAGTAAAACAAAAGAACTTGTGATGGACTTTAGGCAAAGCAAGGGAGCACTTTCACCACTGTACATCAATGATCAGATTGTGGAGGTGGTGGAGAATTTTAAGTTCCTGGGCACCACCACCTCCAACACTCTCACCAGAGGCTGTTCTTCCTGAGACAGTCAAAGACGTCTGGAGTGTCACAGGAAGCAGTGACTCTCTTTTACAGATCTGCCATTGAGGTTGCTTTAACCTTCTCCAACACTGTGCCAATCAATGCCCAAGACACAAAGCAGCCAGAGAGAGTAGCGTCTATCGCCTACAAAACTGTGGGGTGCCACCTTTCCTCTGTGGACTCACTCTGCCTCTCTAGACTGAAACACACAGCCCTACAGATTCTCACTGACCCTTCCCTTGCCCAACCTCTGTTTACCCTCCAGCTCCTGGTAAGCAGCTCAGGTCTATCAAATAAGACCCACTAGGTTCCATAACAGCACCCACCCAGAAGCTGTGAAATGCATGACCTCTGCACTTTAATTGAGCAATTGTTGCAGGGCTCATGTTATTTTATCTGGTCTCAGTGTTATTTATTTTATAAATGATGTGTTTAGGGTGGAAGCTGCCTATTGTTGGTTTTATATTATTTATATGGACTATCTTTTAATTGTATCAGCTCACCAAACCCAACTCCATGCCACTAGCTGTAATGGCAGTAAAGCACTGAACTTGAACTTTGCTGACATCTCATATTTGGTGCATCTCAGGAAGCTCTTTTTGCCAACAGCATTTTCAAAAAATAACACACCTTCTTTAATCCTTTGTGATAACTGAACAGTTTATCTTTAGCATCCCTCTGCAAAACAAAATTCTATGAATCTGGTACTACCAACATTTTCACAGGCTGTATAATCTATAAAAAAAGTTTGTTACCTGAAGCCAAGGGTGACTGAGGGACTTGTCCACACTGTACCTCTTCCTCATTTTCACCTGAAGGAGATTGTTTATGAGGTCGGTTGCTGGAAAAGAACGAATATGAATGAGTAGTGAATCTTACTGCACTGTCACAATCTTGTGTTAAACCAATTACTAAAATATACAAATAGCCAGGGTATCTGTGTGTGGTTTACATTTCAGAAACTGTTTAACAAGAACTCCCTCTTCTGAATCCTCAGTTGTCATTTCTCAGTGAGTGACCAAAATTTCTCATCTTGGCCCCTGTCATGGAATACCAGGCACTTCTAGGCCACACTTCTTTCAGCACCATGGTGGACACAAAGGCTGAAGTATCACTGTCATGGTCGCTGGACCCACTCAAGAATGGAAGCAGCATCCTTTCTCCAAGTCATGATAAGCCCCTTGAGTGAAATACATTATCTGAAGAGGTTCCCTCTTAAAATGCACGCAATGGGGGTCTTCCATTGCTTCAACAAGATTAAGGTCTCAGGGAGCAGGCTGAGCTCCATGGTCAAGATGTCACTGGTTTGAGCCCAGACCATGTTATCACACCGCTCTAACTGGAATTCCCCAAGAAGCAGTGCTGCCAGGAATTGGGTGAGCTTTAATCACCCAGGGTCCCCCCTCTGCTTTTGGGGACCTGGCTTATATAGGGGACCCAAGGCAGGTGACAGCAACACTGCAGTTCTGCAGTGCCTTCAGGAAGAGACACCCCACTCCTCCAGCTGGTGTTGACTCTTCTGGGAGGCAGTGTGGAGGTTCGCTAATGGACCAGGGTATAAATTGGAGTGCATTATAAAAATATGTTGATTTCCTGAGTCCAGCCATTGTCTCATGTCACAGTTAAATTTATTTGAGACTTATCCCTTAGGGGTAAGTGGCACAACTCTCAACTTTGAGGAGAGGATAGCAAAAGAAAAGTTTGGTAGTGTTCAAAAAAGATAAAGGACTGATCATCAATGAGGGGGTAATCTGAAGAAATCAATTTGCTACCACATGTACTTTCAATATATTTCAGGAAAATACCTTTCAAACAAAACAATTAAGAGAATATAAAAACAGAAGCACCATTTTGGCACAAGCATACAAGTATTATTATAGGCTGGAGGTATAATGCTAATGTTTTCTAACACGTTTTCCACGTTATCGCAAATGGCTACTTTTGCGGAAGAATTTTTGACAATAAGAATAAAAAGAAGCAGAGTACCTTTACCTTCTCCAGATATCTCTATCCAAGGGTTGGGTGGATACATGAAGGCTGCGTTTTGAATCTGGTCATTGATGTCTTCGTCTTCGTTGAAGGGGAAAGTGCCACTGAGGCTGACGTAGATGATGACGCCCACGGACCACATGTCCAGAGAGCGGTTATAGCCTTTGCTCCGCAGGACCTCGGGGGCCAGGTAGGCGGGGGTCCCCACCACCGAGCGCCTGAAGGATTTCTCCCCGATGATGCGGGCAAAGCCAAAGTCACACAGCTTCACCTGCAGAACCAGCCAGCCACAGAACAGCTGTATTTATCAAGCGTGTTGGACTGCCGTGTTACTTTTCATATACTGTCAATGGTAACTTGTCCAAGAAATACTACACTGTTAGGAAAGCATGATGTGTTGGTGTTACTTGGATTTTACTTTTTTTAACATGCTTCTGTTTTATAAGAAAGCTGCTTAACAAGCAACTGTGTCATGTGTTTGTTTGAGAAATGTTTACATACTGATGCTGATGTTTGGTTTTGGGAGAAATTCACCGTGGACCTTAACGATATATTATTCTTGGCAAAATGGTGCAATTCCAGCACACGTTAAAGATGGGAAGAATTATTATTTTCCATGTCGTTCCCCGAAAGCTGCTGCCCACCTGGGGCTGAACCTACCTGAGGGAAAGGCTCTGCTGAGGCCAGGAGGACATTCTCAGGCTTCAGGTCACAGTGTACTATGTTCTTAAAATGCAAATGTCTCAACGCCACCAGAATCTGTCAGACACAGAAATGATCAATCAATATACTGCAGGTTAAAAACTCAATCGTGTAACAGATCTTATGAAATAGTTTTTTTTTAAATCCAATATCATTCATGTTTATGTAATGTTTTTTCATTCTGTCGCAATTCCCATCTATTTTGCTTTTTTGAAAGTATACTTCTTTACATCTGGTTCCTCTTTTGCGTAATTGCAAGAACATTTTCAGCCTTCTGTCACTCACAGACAGTAAGGGATGAGCATCTTGAAAATGTAGTGTTATTCTCTTTATTGAATTCAGAAAAAGTAAATACATCACTACAAGTACTTGCAACATGTTAGAAAACAAAAAGCACAATTATTTTCACCAGTTGAATGAAATATCTGGATTCACATAGTGTATAAATAATGACAGTGACAATACTTTAAATGATTACAGTTAATAATGCTAAGAACATTCCATACTCACAAGGGAATGAGTTACATTTGACTAAACTTGCATCTAGTGAAGTCAAAATGATAATTTATTGTATTTTAAAGGGGTATTTTATTTCTATGTAGCATAAACACCAAGAATGCAACACAATACAAAAATATTATTATATACTGTAACTGTTGTACCTACTTAGCGTTTCAACAATTTATGTTATGTAAAGTACAGTCTACTTGAAATGCTTTTAAATCAAGTCTGGCCTGCCATAGCAAATGAGAAAATCTGAGGTTTACAGAACTGCAAGTTAGGCTGGGGCCTTGTATAAACTGTCCCCTACAAATGTCCCCCAACAGGGGGTCTATCAGCTTAGGAGGTGAATGGCTGGTCCAGGAAGAATAGCTTAGTATATAAGAAGTTGAGTTGGGCACATTTCTAGTCAGTGCAGTATATTTTCTCTCACCCTTCGCAGGAAGAAATAAGACATTCTGAGTGAGTTCCATTTGGCTCAGATCCACAGAACCAGCATTTTTGGACTCTACTCTTTGTGGAGTTTGGTCCATCTTTGAATAAGAGTCAGTGTTTCTTTGAGCTGTAGAAAACCCGAGTTCAGGGAATAACGGTCTTCGTAAATATAAGTCTCTGTGCTCACATTTTATTGTTGTAAATCATTTGTCTTTTTAAGTCTGTGACTTTTCAATACTTCATCATCCCACTGTGCCAGGCAATAAAAAAAAAAAACTAATCTGATCTCTTTGATCAGTTTCCATTCCTGACAATAGTGGGCATGTTATTAGGTATCTCAGATCAGTAACAGATAATTATTTTTACTTTAATACTCCACTCCCCAATTTGTCAGACAACATTAAAACTGAAAGCGAAACTTCTTCCTCTTCCATATGAGTGATGAAGGAAGTGTATCCATAGTGTTAAAGAAGCACCTCAGAATGAATCATCTGTCCCCATATCTATTCACAGAAAACCCCTTATTCCTAGCAAGAGTGGTGGCATCCTGAAGCCTTTTCCAGCACAGGGCTCATGTCTTTGGGAAGCAGGAAGCAACCGGAGCCCCAGAAGGAAACACACATGGACACAGAAAGGCATTACACCAGGACCCAAGAGCCCTGGGGCAGCGGTGCTAACCACATCTGCACCAAACACGCCCGATTTCAGCAGAACGAGAGAAACTCACCTGCGTGACCAGAAATTTGGTGATGCGCTCTGGAAGTCTGCTCTTCTCACTGGAGAGAATCATCTCCAGCATGTCTCCGTGGAGCTTCTCCATGACCACAAAAACTCTCTCGGGAGTTTCAAACATGCACTCCAGGTTCACAATCCCAGGATGGTGCAGGTTCTAACGGGAAAAGCAAGCAAGCAAAACGCTTCAGTGTACGGGCAAGAGAACCAACCAATTTTCTACACTGTATCTTGCGTTCAAGATTTATGCCTAACGTTCTAATGTTCAGCCTGTTAGATTACCTTGTACTGCTGGTCCAAGCTGTGACAAGAATCAAACAGGAAAAGCTGTGCCACAGCATTTCCCCATCAAGCTTTCTAGTCTGAACAAACTTAGGGTAAAACAGACACTTACGTTGACCCAGCTAACCTAATTACCGTTACTTTCTGAAAAGGATGACTAGTGTTTGAATACATGTGTAGTGATGTTCCAGAATGCTATACACTTTCTACACACAACTACTGAGTCCAAGTGTACAGAGCAGCAGGCTTACCTGTAATATAGCAACTTCATTTCGCAGCTGGCTCTCCTGCTTGGTGGGAAATCTCATTTTGTCGATGACCTTAATTGCAACATCTCTGCCTGTTTTCCTGTGTTTCCCTTTAAAAAACAAAAGTGAAACTGTTCTGTAAAAGAAAAGATCTACACAAAGTGCTGGGAGCTGCCAAAGTCCCGATAACGTTTACATTGTAAGTGATTAGAAATGCAAAGTGGAACCAAACAAAGCCATTCATGATAAGGGACCTCAATACTATACAGGAGAAAATAAAGAAGCACCTTTTACATTCAGTTATGTCTCCAACAGTGTACTAGGAATTGTCTTATTTATACATGCAACACAAATGGGCTGGACTCCAAAAAACTGTATATCCTGTACTGTATACATGAGTTACAGGTTTATGTACAGGATGTATTCAGCTTCCATAACATGACACTGTGGAATATATAATTGTTTAAAGAGAGGTGGCTGCTTGTCAAACTCAGATCATGCGTTGTGATTGTGAAAATAATTTAAAAATATTTACATGTTTACTAACAACTTTTTAATAACACTTTTAATAACACAAGTATTCCTCACCATACCATGCACCAAATAAACCCCCCAAAATATCAAAACACCCTTAATGTAGGCACTGGTCTGCTAGCAATCAGCTGCTCAAGTTGTTACGTAATAAACTCCACACCTGCTATATTTCTGAATTGTGCAAATATGGAAAACCTGAAAAGCTTACCGCCATATACAATTCCAAACTGCCCTGATCCCAAAACCTCATCAGCAAAGATCTGGTATACAGAGCTTATATCCTACAACAAGGAAACAAGCCCGTTCTTAGTCAGAACCAATAAGTATCCGTATACAAACAAGCTTACAAATAAGGCATTACCTGAATTAATTTCTACACTTAATTACTATAAATTTCACACTTTTCCTTCACAAACAAATATTCATGTATTTTTATCTAACTACAGAAATCGTATATTACTGAGATTCCATTTTTTTTTGTTATTATCAAAGTAATTTTATATACAGATGTTAAATGCTTTTGGATTACTTTACCTCTTACAATTTGAAATTCTATTGTTTTCAATTACACCACATAGTTTCTTTTGATTAACAACTAAGCACTTTCACTTACTGTGAGGGAACTGTAATATTAATTCCCGTAACCTCACAATATTGGCCACTTCCTTTTATTGAGCTTTTCACAGTGATTTACAGAATACTGATTCTATCTTTTATAGCGGAACCCAAAAGTATTATACACCATAAAGAGCACAAAATCAAAAAAGGGAAAACTGATAACAACAAGATTCTGTATTTGGAAATTGCATAACACTGTCCCATCAACAGGCCACACTTACCACATTCTCCTGAATCTGGCAGTTGGACACAGATATGCTGATGGACAGCTCTTCTGGTGTTAAAAAAAGAAGGATTAAAATACAGAATCACTAAAGATACAATACGGTTTCAAGTGTGCAACGAACCGAATACAGCTCTACATTTTCTCACCCAGTGACATTGAGGTAACAGCTAAGCAGAGGTCAGTATGGGTACCCCAGATTAAGAAAATATAATTCGAGCATAAGATAAGAAGCGTTCTTTATGATCTTCAAACCATGTGCTAGTAATTTAGCCCACAGGCTCCTAAGTAATTCCAGAACAAGGTTTATTACTGAAGTAAGGTGTATTTCTATCACACTAATTAGAAGATGATGTAAACAAATTACAAATAAAAAACTTTGTTGATTCACTTCTTATTATTCTTAAAATTAAGAGTTACGTTTAAATCGTGAGAACAATGCTTTATAAGCAATCATATTATATTTTAAATATTAAATCTCACTTACACATTGTGTTCACCAAACATTTGGGAGATAAACTAAAACAACAGCAACAATTTTATCATCTTCAATGCTTGGCTGTCAAACAAATGATTGGGAAGTCTATCTAATCTAAGCATGATCTCAAAGGATTATATAAAGAAATTAAAATGCAGCATAGGAATGTATTCTACACAGGTATTCAACATTCAGAAATAATAGCATTCTTTGTGATAGCTCAGATGATTACAATGTAATAAGCAGAACAAATCTCAAAGGCTTTAATTTTAACAAGACTTTAGAATCCTGCCAACGGGAATGGTCAGTTTTCTAAAGATTCTCCAGATTTTTGGCAGTTGATTTCAATGCATTTATCTTAGTAGATTCACATCTCACTTAAGAAGAAGGAGAGAAAATTGGCTTGAGAATGAGCGATACCTCTCTTTTTTTAAGGGCATTATGTTCCAGGTGCACATTTATGTCACACACTTATCACAGCATTAAAGCATCAGAATAAACAAGGAAGAATCTTAATTGATATCTTCTTCTGATTTTAACAGCTGCCACCTTCAGTGGTGTCATCAAGATAACTCTCGCAAATGTAAAGTAAATATTTACTAAATGTCGATTTTCAATATATGGTAAAGAAGATGTAGGGCTTGGTATGGTTTTGCCAAAATTGTAAAAACTAATCTCTTATATCAGCACAGAAAATATTCATGTCTCTGCCAAAGTCTGTGCCTGTCTGCCATGTCTCTGACATTTCACCTGCCCCATTAAAATACCACGATGGAAAGGTCCTTATAGCCTGTTGGTAGTTGGACAGTTAACTCGTATTACAAAGTTCACTACAATTCAATTACAATAATATCAGCAAAAAGCCCGATTCAAGAGGATGTGTATATACTTTGTTATACTCATAATTCTTGTGTCTGCAACACATCTCAGTTCAAACCCTTTCAGAATTTGTTGACATGGATTATTTTTTTGAGAAGAAACTGCCCACTTTACATTTCCCTAGTGTGTGCCACAAGCACCACACAAACGAGTAAGCACTTCTGAATAAGCCATCCTAAACGAAAGGTCAATCTGACATTTCATCAATTTTCCACTACCCCTTCACTCAATTATATCACCTCAAAAGGCGTTAAACAAAAACAAAAAAGCCTGTCGTTTCTATTGTTTTCACACTAGCTTTTTCTCAAGTTTACGCCTTATGGACGATGTCCAATGTTCACCAATAAAAAATTTCGAAAACTAGACAAAACACTTTAACAATGAACAGCATTATTTATGCTATTTTCAGCATTTTAAGAGTGTGATAATGCAATTTAGTCCTTAAATGCCTTACTGCCCTGTAAAATGCCCACTATGCTTTCTTTTCTCAGCACTGTGGTGACAGATGGTAAGCAGACTTTAAACTTACTGTGGTCTTTCCCTTGTGCTCCCACAGTGCACACACTAGCCTGTGGGGTAACAGGCATCAGGGCTTGTCGGATTGCCTTCTCCCAGCTCTGAGCCACCTCCAGGCCCACTCCTGAGGCAGCCAGCACTGGGTTCTGAAAGTTTCCTCCATTGTTCTCTCCCACATAGTACACCATGGTGTCCGTGATGATCTCGAAGCAATGTGGGTTGCTGCCCTGTGCCAGGTTCGAGAAGTCCCTAGCTGGGTCCACTTGCAAGATCTCTGAGAGAGGGATTTCCTGTGAAGAATTAAAGAGATTTGCATTTGAGTCCAAAAGAAGTCCCAAGAGTTTACATTTCCCAGGCCTCTGCTCATGTAGCACAATGTGACGATGGAGAAACACTCCTAGACCCACAGAAAATGCTTCAAGAAATTAAGCGCAGGTTCATCAGTCACAATTTGAAATCTGTCTTCCCCAGCTGCACAGTCAATCAAAAAGGAAGCACAGACTTCAACCAATAGACGTTTAATCAGTTTGTCTGACTTCCTCGCCTCTTTCTGCATGTATAAAATGAACTGCTTGTGGTTTTCAAAGACAAGCACGTGACAGAACACACCACTAATTGAAGTGCTCTGCAATTAAAAGGCACAGCTTAAAACTTGAATCGTGCAGCGAGCACAGAAGGCAGCTATCAACTGAGACAGAATGATCAAGGTAGCTGCTGGCCAGTCAATATTAAACCAGGACCTTGCCCTAAGTGTGGTGGGGAAACCCCTTACCAAGACCGAGAAGTGGTAAAGCCCCATGCAAAGGAGCTGTAGCTTTGCATGAAACCTCTCCTGACAAACTCAGTTCCAAAAACAGAAGTGCACAGACATACAGATTTTACTGCCTAATAAACCACAAATACAACTAAAGAAACAAGTGTAAAGAAAAGGCAAGTAATCCTGGATTTAGTGAATTTCATCTTAAAAAAAGGCTAAGTGTGCAGTCAGAAAAAAAAACTAAAAGGACTAGACTTGCAGATACTGTACACAAAACATTCTGTGCAAGACTTCCCTGTACACTGTCAGTCAAGGCTCACAGGCGTGAGAGAGGACATCTTTGTAGGTACTCCCAACAGCAGGCTTTTCCAGAGGCACACAGCGCTCACTGCTGCTAACGGAGAAGCCACTTCCTGCATTTAACTTTACGCGCGTGCTTTAATAGATGCCACTAATCTGAAGTGAACAATATTTCCATCACCTCACTTGCAGAAAAAAAATGTTAAATGTTGGCAGCGGTTAAAATGTTGTACAGGTGCTCTTGAGTGCACAGCAAAACTGTTCTAACAAAAGCTCACGTTGACTGCTTTTGACAGTACGGTGCCTGTTTTAAAATGCTGAGGACCAGAACTGAGGATTAAAAGTCCAAAACATTTCCTGTGTTTTTCCACACTCATAACTGAGTGTCCAGCACACACGTCTTTGGTGCTTGCGGTCTAGCCCAGGCACCGCAGGTAAGAGAGTAGAGGAGGTGAACCCACTGAATCCACACCACCTCCAGGAGGCTCAGTCAGCAAGGGTGCCATGCCATACAGTAACAGACTGCAGCACCCTGCAGCACCTGAAGTTCACTTTCGGGGTCAGGGAATTGTGATGACTAATGAAAGCAACCTGGTTTGCACAATATGCCGAATATCATCAATGCAGATCATTTTGGAGCTCATATAACATATTTGCTTCAAGAGCTGCAGTACAATTTTTGTGAAGAGTGTCCCACTGTCCTTCGTATGAACTGGAGACTACGACAGGAGAGACAGATTAGCTTTGCGATTTCACTTTCACATTATTAATCATCTTGGTTCAATGAACTGAGTAAAACATATCCTAAAAACTGTCGGGCATTACCATGTGAATAGTACCACAAACTCATAGGTGCAAATCACACATTTCCTAGAAAAACTCAGCAAGAGTAACAGGGTTTTTTTATGACAAGTTTTGCCTTGTGGCTAAGACTTAGTACAGTGTCAGACAGATTTAGATTTACAGTACTAAAACACCTTGATTGCAAGCCTTATGTCATTAACAGCACATTACCCATTCCTTTAAGCATACCAAAAAAAAGAAATATTTTTATTCTATCTGCCATGTTCGCTAAACATTGCTGTCATGCTCGCTGTAATTTAACAAATCACTATTTGTTAAATTACAAAGTCATGAACAGACTGGCTCCACTTGTATGTTAATTTTTTAGAAGCACTGAAATTACCATGCCTAATTTTTTTTAATTAGTGATATAATTATAAGTCAGACCATACTAACATGTCTTTACAGTTTCATCTGCGGTTGTCTAATTCAAATGCTAAATTAGAATCAATTTGCTATTTTTCCATCTTATATGTTTGTAAACATGAACACTACCCCAGCCTTGCAGCCTTGTTGGAGAGGTGGGAGACATACAGTAGAAAAGGAGATAATTACTCTAACATTTTATTTTCTGGACTCATGAACCATTGTTTGTGCTGCTAGCTTTTAAAAAGTATAAAACAAATTCTGCATGTTTAAGAGCTCAAATGTGATCAGATAATTATGTGAATAAGAAAAGATAAACACTTAAGATTAAGAAGCTGTGCATCTCAAATGACTGAAATGACTGATGTGCACGTTTACATCTGAATTACAAGCGGATTATCTTAATGTAAAGCTTAGCAATATAAAGGATTGAATACTGTTAAGATTTTAAATCCGCCCTGCCCCAAGACTGTAGAAGAACTGATTCAGAAAAATAAATTGGTTAATTCAGTTATTTAGTTGCAATGCATTTAATAGTATAATTATACAAAACACAGATAACCTCATAATTAAATATATTTATCTTTCGTAAAAGTGAGACATTTTTTAGAACATTAAATTGAAAGGTTTGCAATTAGTGTCATCGAGCAGGGTGTTTGTAGCAACAAGAATGGACATTCATCTGAAAAAGCAACACCCACATAAGGAAACACGAAAAAAACAGAATTTACAGTATTTACAGGCAAGAAGCCTTTAATTATCTTCCTCTTTTCTGAAGTAAAGTTCAGCAGCATACTGATAATAAATGTTCTCATAAAAATGCCCAAAATGAGATGTTGATGTCTCAATCAAAACTGTAAAAGTACCAGAGGAGAAGCCAGGTTGCTTTCCCATTTTCTCCCTGCCCTGAGACAGAAGGGGCGTGGTGTAATAGACCCAAGAAACGCTGAGGTTGTTAACCCACAAGTGTGTTCTGTGATTAGAGCACCATGCTTATTAGTCAAGTTAGATTAAAAAAAACTTATTTTGAACTTTAAAAAAAATAATAAAATAATCGCAAAAAGGCACTTTTCAATTTTAAAATTAAATACAATTGCTCTGCTTTGTCCACAGAATGTTATTCAGTTAGACTGAATATCTTTAACAAAAAGAAATGGTTTCATGTTATTAGGTACAGAAACTTTTTTCATATTGTAAAGTTAGGAGGGAGTTTCCTTGTTTTGGAGTTAAGAAATGATCGTAGAGTGTTGCACATTCTTCTTCATCCACTTGTGTTTCACAAATGGCTGGCATTTGCTTTGCATACCACCAGATCAGATATAGTCAGGAGGTTTGAGTTCTAAAGCACTGTTATCAATATTACCAGACTTTACAGCACATAATGTGTTTCTAGATAAGGAATAATACACCTGGGGCTACCACTGCAGCACAACGTTTTGTTTCAGTGCATGTAAGAAGGTGATCAGGAAATTTCTCTGCCTTCAGAAATCACCTAAAATGTATAAATGTATAACAGTTTAGAAGCAACAGTTTATAATACAGATAAAACATAGAAATGAGATGGAAGAAGTGCAATGCAAATTGAGAATTCGTTCAAATAATGAGTGACTCATTACCTATTGGGAAAGCTATTAAATGTTCTTCAATGGATAAAGAAAAGATAATTTGCTGTGATTTTGCAGTGTATGCATGCATATATGTGCCCATTATAAATAAAATTTGGTTTTTTAACACAAAGTCTTTTATCCCGTTACTGCTAAGTTTACATGTTCTCACTCAGTCACATTCTTAAAGTACACAAGACACTCCACACACAGGGAGGTGTAAAATGGTTCAGTTCTGTAATTAAAGCTAGAAACCATGAAGAAAATAAAGCTGAACTACATCTGGAAGTTATTAGAGAGGGCAAACAAATGCAGATTGAGATTAACATTATTTTTTAATTAAAGACTTTACAACTATTAAGTTTTTAGACTTTTATAATTACGTGCTTTGACAAAAGCTTTTTGATTAATGGTGTAAAATAAAAGAGCAATTTCAAGCAATGTGTGTTTAAGAAAAACACTACTGTTACAGTATCTTAAGTAAAAGACAAAATGATATGGTCTCAAAAGGATGACATTTTATTTGTTAATGTTACAGGCTGATGCAGCTGACAATGAAAGGGTCCCTAAGAATCTAGACAAGGCAGTAACACCTAACTAGTGTCAATACTTCCATTTCCTAGATCTTCAAACCAGGGGGTGTTTACTTATCAAATCAAAGTTTACTGTTTAATCCACAACAATACAGCGTGCAGCAGTAGTTGCTGGCAATGAAATGTCTTTTCTGCGAGCTCACAAAAATCACAAAATTAAAGTTAGGAAAATAAGGTTACATCATAATAGATGTAATAGAAATTAAATTAAACTCAATATGAATAGAGCTGCTATGTGTCCATGGTGTGTGCAATATAAGCTAGTAGTGCAGTTATGCTGAATACAGTGAAAACTGTGTGTCCATGGAGCCATTACAGGTGATTTGCTGAAGGAGCTGCAGCTTGGCTATCTGTTGGACTTGGATCAAATGCTTTGGTACCATTTACTGGACAGTAGGAGGGAAAACAGTTTGTGACTGGGGTCCTTGAGAATGGACCTGGACCAGCACTTAGTTGTGCTGGGTGAGAGACACGCTGATCAAAGGAATCTTCTGGGTAATCTTAGCTGATTAAGTTATGGGTAAATGATTAAGAGTGTCAAAAGCGTAGGATAAAGGACAGATGACAGAACAAGGAGAGACAATAAGAGAGAGGAGACATTGGAGAAAGCGTGTGCCACGCGAGAACTCCTTGTTCGAGATCATCCAAAAAGACCCAATAGGAGCTACAGTAAGTATTTCCTTTGTATTCTGTGCTTATATAGGACTTGGTGAAGAATCCCTTGGTTAAAAAGAGCCTCTCCTGCTTGATGGGTGAATATTTAGAATAAGGACACGGGCTCCCATTTATTTAGTGGCATCTGAGTTAGCAGAGAAAGAGGTTTAACT